TGATTAAAGCTCAAAATCTAAGCAATAGCAATTCCAGCAGACATAAACATAAAGAAACAACATCCCAATATAATAAAAATTCAAAGTTCAATAATTCAACATAACCATAATTCAGCAAATATTAATCAGAACTGGCAAAAAAAATTCCTCATTGTCAACAACAATTCCCCATCGTCGTCATCATAGCAACAACAAGAATCCAGAATAAAGCATCCCAATTGCATCAAATCCTTATTATCAAAATCAAGTAACAACAAAAGTAACCCTTAAAATGCTTACATTTCCAACCCCACAAACCCTAATCAAATTGGGGAAAATTAGGGAGTATCCCAAGGCTTAGGCTCAGGAAGAGCAACAACCATACCTTGATGCTCCTGCGAGAGAACAACCTGACAACCCAACCTAGCATGCTTGTTAAGAACACGGTTTCGCTGATTCCTTTTGAGCACATACTGTTCATCATACGAAGCAGCAGGAATCTTCTGGAGCCATTCTTGAGCAATATGAACCTCGCATTCAGCAGAACAAGCTTCGATATCTTCAAGACGATGAGAAGCAGGGTCGATTAGATCGTGATTAGTTAGGGCTTTGAGTAGGGTTTGGCCTGAGAGACCGATGATTTCGCGCTTGTGGCCGTCTAAATCGATTGCGAAGAGCTTGACGATTCGATCGGAGACTTTCTTAGTGCCGCCGGTGGATGGGGCGGCGGTGGTGGTGGTGCGGGTGAGGAGGGATTTGGAGAGGAGAGAGAAAGTGGAGGAAGTGGCGGTGGTGCGGTGAAGGTGGGTGGAGAGACGCTGGAGACTTGCGAACGCCATTGTGTTGGGGTTTGTCAAAGTGAGACTCTAAATGAGAAGAAATTAATTGCCTTTGAGTGAAAAAGTGAACATACAAATTTCTTAGGCATTCCACATATTTCAAAGGTGCAAATTCGTCATTTTAAGTCAATAATTCTGGATAATATTGTAATTTTTTTTATAATTTTGAGTAGAGTTGATTAGAACGATTTCCCATAATATTGTTGAAATAAAAATCAATTCCCATAATACATTGATTTTAAAATAAATTCCCTACATAGTGTCCACGTAGGATCGTTTTTTTTTGCTTTTGGTTCAACTTAAAACCACTAATGGTAATAGCGGTTTTAAAAGAGACCGCCTCTAACAATAACAGGTCTCTTTGCGTCCTTGGTTAATTCACAAGGCTTAGTTTGCAAGAAGATTATTTCAAAGAGACCGCCTCTCAATACGACAGGTCTCTTTGCGTCCTTGTTAATTCTTAGCCCACAACAAGAAAAGAGAGCGCTGACAATTACACTTATAACTTCAAAGAGACCGCCTTTCAATAAAAACAGGTCTCTTTGACTTTATTTTACCAAAATTGCAAAACCGCTAATACCATTAGCGGTTTTAAGCTGAACCGAAAACCAATCCTACGTGGACACTACTTTGGGAATTTATTTTTAACACGAAGCATAATGGCAATTAATTTCTATTTCAATAATATTAAGGGAAATCAAGTATGGCCCGGCCTGATTATGGGCAGAATTTTTCGGCCCGATTTTTTTTTTGGGACAGGTTTGGAAATGCGATTTTATGCATTTTTAGTTGATTTTTAGGCCCGGTCCGAAATGGCCCGAAAACCCCACACGGCCCGACCATTTTGGGCGGGTTTGGGCACAAAAAATCCGGCCTGAAACTTGGTCCGGCCCGGCTCGAAAAACGGCCATGACTTTTTAGCTCCGGCCCCGCCCGTCCAATGATCACCTCTAAGTTCGAGCTAACACAGGATCCTTCAATGTCAAATTGAAGAACGTCAATAAAGAAATAAAGAATCTTTAATGGAAAGATAGAGAAAATACAATGAAGAAATTGAATAAGGCAAGGGTCATCAATGGAGAAGGATGATATCATTGTCCTTTGGAGTTAGTCATGCCCTTTGTTTCACCATTTTTTCTTAGGCCAATTTCAGTTTTGTATTCATTTAATTTCAGGCATTTTGGTAAAATCAACCATGACTCCACCTTTCAAACATTCGCTAGGAAGCCCTAAATCACTCCTATCTCTCACTCACACAATAATGGCAGGTGAAGTAGCTCCGACGATGGAGGGTGTAGGAGCAATAAGTTGAAAACACTAAAATCAAAGCTAGGCGAAAGTTGGTTGTGACTTCGGCAATGGGCGGTGGCGGGTCCAGAACTAAATCAATCTCTCTCACCCGCCAACTCTATTGGCCACCATTGCGTCGGCGACAATTATGTCCAAGAGCTACTTTAAAATGCTTCCAAGGTTGTTAATTTCACCTTTAATTCCTAGGGTTTTAGTTTAATTTGGTTGCAAAGCCGTTGGAGATGGTGATGTCGATGGTGTATGTGGCCAGTTTAATGGATGAAGGTTGGACGTGATGAAGATGGTGGTGTCGGTGGACAATTTAATAAATGAAGTTTGAAAATGATGAAGATGGTGGTGTAGGTGGAGTTTCGATAGAGGAAGCTTTAACATAAGGAGTTAGGATGTGGGCTTACATTTTAGGTGATTAAGCAGCTGACAAAGCACCCGTATGAGTTGGCGGCTGTTTACCAATAGATAACTCGGGCTTTATCTGTTAAGAAACATAAGATGTTTCTCATGAAGAGAAACCAGGGCAACACGTGGAGAAAATCCAAGTTACACAATATGATAAACATCGTATGTTTATCCAGGGTCATATTCGTCTTTTCACACAATAATTTGGGGGCAAAATTGTAATTTTCCATGTCATCTTCCATTAATTCTTTCCTCCATCATACCTTTCTCACTCTTTGATATATGTGTTTTATATGCTATTTTATCCCCCGTCCCACAGTCATTTTTATGCATATTTGAGCTCTTCGGGGCTACTTTTTAGTACTAATGTGTGGTTTCCAGTGTTTTGTAGAGTTGACATTTGTTTTTTAGGAGTTTCCCGGATTTGTTGATGATTTCTATGGTTTTCCGTCCACTATGAGGTATCGAAGCTATTATCACATTCATGACCGTCGTTTGTAGCCCAAGACCGATTATCTTGGTGACTAAGAGCTTGGTTCGTGGAATTAGTCTAAGGAAGAAGTGAATTTGGGCCACAAGTGTTTGGCGCCTATAAAAAAGAAGAAAGAAAACTCGGCCAAGAACAGACCGGGCCCGATCGGGCAGATGCCCAGAAAAGTGATTTGAAGAAAAAGGCGGCCCCGATCGGGTGGCCCTTCGCCCAATCGGGCGCGTGTTATTCCGGAGGCCTTTAGGGTTTGTCGATTTGGTTAATTTGGAGTTTAGTATTTAAACCTTTTTGTAAGATTTATTAGCTACGTTTTTAGATTACAATTTTCATTCTTAAGCTTTTAGTGAGAGATTATTTGTTGAATTCAAGATTTCCCTTTTTAGTGCAATTTCATATTTCCTTCATTCAGAATTATTTCTCGTCTCTTTCATTGCTTTGTTTATCACTTTGATTTTAATTGCTTTGCTATTTTTGTGCTTTGATTGCAATCATGTCTTTTATATATGCTTTGATTAGTTTAGATTTAAATATGTGTAAGTAGTTTAATTCTAGGGTTTATGGGGGATCCATAATTAATATGAAGGGATAATTTGTTATTATTGATTATTAATATTGCATGATAATTTCTTATTGAATTGTTTTAATTCTTTACAATTGGATTCTGAATCGATGTGATTTGATTGTAAAAGTATAGCAATATTGAATTGATGAATCGAGCAGATGTTAATTTGATATTAAAGGCTATTGTCAATAGGAACTTAAATCTAGTAAATTGCGAGAGCCTGTTAGATCTATGTTGATTAATAAATTGTGAGAGCCTGTTAATCATGTTATGTTTGCAATATTAATTGTTGATTGTTATGTTTTATCTCGGAGTATTAATTATTGGTGAACCTGTATTGACCCTAGGCTTTTTAATTTATTGATTTCTTCCTTAGTTTAATTCATACAAACCCTTATTTTTTTCTTGATAATTTAGATTATAATAATTAATTAGGAATAGACGAGCGTTGTTTCCTTGTGGATTCGACCCTACTTCCCTATCTATTATTAGTTAGTGATTTTAGGAATTAATTTTGATTAGGTGATACGACTTTAGCCTATCACTCTTCTTCTTCCATTATCTCTCCTCCTATTTGCAGTTAATCGTACAATGCCCTTAATTCTCCATTATTCTTAAGATTTTCCATTCATCGCCGAAAATGGTGATGTTAGGGTGTTGTATGAGGTGTTGGTGAAGAGTACATCATTGTTGTTGAAAAAGGAAGTAGAGGAAGAAGAAAAAAGGAGGGTTAAAGAAGGAAGAACAAGACGACGAAGATGATTGTTCAAATGATAAAAAATGTTTTAGGGCAAAAACCTAGACAAAAATAACCAAAGTGTCCTTAGATAAACAAGTTTGTTTTATCAAATTGAGTAACATGGATAAGGATGACAATGGGCTGTATCTAGACTTGGTCTAATGAGATCCAAATCCAGACCCGAATTTTTGGAGGTGGATTTAAATGCAACCCAATCCACTGGGTCTAACCATATATTTTTCAATTTTTGTCACTCATTTTATTATATATAATATATATATGTCCCTATTTTATTTGTATATAACTATGATATTACTTAAACACTACATAAAATTCATTAAAATTAAAAATTATCTTAAAAAGCATACTAGTTCATATAACAGTTAGAATTTAAAGTTATAAACTGTTTAGCTTGTAGTTACATCAAACAAATCCAAAATATCAAATCCTACACAGAGATTAGAAGAGTATTAAACAACTTTTATTACAAGTTTCATTTTCCTTTCTTTTCTTTTCCTCCCTGTTCCTTCCAACTAAAAGGTGTATAATCATGTAAAAGTTGCAAAATGAGATGGAGAGTAACCAAGCTTGTTGTATATCCTGTTATAACTAAAGCGAATTTCAACCATTCGCATATGAGCAATTCACTTCTCTAGTTATATCCAATTCATATCAGAAACAAAATCAGGTAGAAGTTTGAAGTTTCAACCAATCGCATATGAGCAATTCACTTCTCTATATACATTATGAACGCATGATCTAATAAGTATCCAATCTCCAAACACTTAATCCAAAGATAGAATAGTCGATCCACAAATCACAACTATATATATACAAACCTCTTTTCCAAAAGATCTTCAGCAACCAAATTTTTCAAAATTGGCTAATTGGACTCAAACCTCTACTCTCTTAACCAAATACTCTCGTTAGAGGTTTAAATTAGTCAACCTCTCATTTCCCATGAGAAACAAACATGTTTTTCATACTACACTTTTAGTCCACAAGGGCAGAAAGAAAAAGAACCAAGCATGCTATAACATAGCAAAAATCTAAACATATGTATCAACAAAAGCAGCATGGCATATAATTGAATAAAAACACGTTTTGAGGTTTTGAAAAAATGACCTTCATAAAATGCTTGGTGGAGCTTGCCTTTCTCTTTGACAATCTGACTCGAGAACATAGCTTTCTCATTGACTTTGGATTACATTTCATCCAGCATCTGGTTCTTCATGTCAATCTCATTAGCCAGGGTGACAACCATATTTTCAGGATCCTGCAGCTCCAGAATGTACGTTATTACTATCAGAGGCATTTGAACTGGCACTGCAGAAGCTGGCTCACACGGTACAATTGCTTCAAGAAATCAGAGTCCCCCAAATCTTCAGCAAAGCCACCAGAAACGAAAGCACACCATATTTCATCCTGTAGTCTCCTTTCAGCTGCCATGGCAGCAGCTTGAACAGGGCTTAATGCAGACATTATATTTTTATCATCACCAAGCCGTAAAGGTCCAGATGGTAGAAAGGAATTGAAACGTTTTCTGTTTTCAGCAGCAGCAAGGGTTGTTTTGTGGAGGGAAGCTAGAGGTTGCTGACGAGAAAACCCATTTAAACATTTTCCAGAAAAATCAACCTTCTCCTGTGCCAGATATTCCCTTGGACATCGATTCCTCACATTCCTGGGTTTGATGGAGAAAACGTAAATGACAAGGAAAAGAAACTACACAACCTGCTTATGTAATGGCTTATATTACAGCTTTGGGTAAACTATGTAAAACTATTCTGCACAAAATTCACAGATGAAAATTGTATTGAAGATTTGAAGGGTTCCCAAGTAACAACTCATGAGTTTAACTGCCCTAAGGGGATCGGCGATTCCTTTGATGATATCTGGTAACTAAATAGAGAGCAAATATTGTTTGAACGACAAGATTTTGATGCCCAAAAGAACCTCGATTTATGATGGTGAGCCATATATTTGAATTTAAATATATAAATAAAAAGTACCAATTAACGAACTCATGTTGTATGAACTTGAGTTGCTATGGAGTAAAATGATACTGCTCACAGACTCAAAATCAAACACTTCCATTTTACAAGCTCATATAGACTGTCACATAACTCAAACTATGAATTTAAACTTGATGCTGACCTTTATAAGCTGATCCCATAGCTGATAGAAACTTGCATTATGAGGACCATGGGCATTATGGAAAAGCTCGTGAAGCATTGTATCCAACACTTCATGAAATGAGTAGAACTCTAACTTCCTGCCAGGCCTCTGAAGCCTCAACTTCACTTCTACCCCACGATTAACATTCAATCCAAGAAGTTCATTCCCCTTGGGACTGCAAGGCCAACAAGTGAATCTCTATTAAGTCGATGAGATGCAATATAGAAATTAAACATCCAGGCAAATCCAAAAGATCTGAAAATAAACATTGTATGTGTGTGTGTGTGCTGCAATACACAGATTTCTATTCAACCCAAGGAACCCATGCTTTTCCCTAGTATAACATTATAGACAAAATAATAGGGTACTAAAACCTGAAATGTTTCATTCTGTATACTCAACTGCATATGATCATTCTTTTTCAAACCTAGGTAAAATGGCACAAGGTTCAGCAGTGCGGACAAGGCTCAAGGGTGCTATAAAATGCACAGGTCTGCAAGCTACAATTCAATTCTATAAAGAGTCCATTGTTTATACATCAAAAACAGCAGCACAACAAATCAAAAACTAACAGATTTTAAAATCATGCCACAATCACCTAACAAAGTCTCATAGCAACAACAATCTAACATCTACACTTTCCTACCAAACTCTATCAAAATCGAAAGTTCAAATAACAATCACCTACAAACACAACCAAGCTTCAACAAATCAATATTCAATAATATGAAGAAAAAAAAATGAAATATTAACCTAACAAAGTCTCATAGCAACAACAATCTAACATCTACACTTTCCTACCAAACTCTATCAAACTCGAAAGAAAATCGAAAGTTCAAATAACAATCACCTACAAACACAACCATGCTTCAACAATCAACAATAAGAAAAAAAAAATGAAATGTTAACTCCAATTCTTCAACAACCAACAAATTTGGAATTTTAATAATGTGAAAACCAAAATAACAAAATTCACACTTACACTAAACAAAATGAATGAAAACAAAAAAATAAGGGAAAAAATCAAAAAGGGCGGGAGACATACTACATTTCAGAGAGAACTTTAACCAACCAATTATGTTTGCGCATAATGGGTTGAACCTGTTTGGCAATGCGCTCCAGAATTTGCTTTGCTTCATCTTGTCGCGATGTTCTTTTCAAAGCTCTGATTTCCCATACTTTGTTAAGATCACCTAAAATAATCAAAATAAGCTTAAATTATTCTTCAAATGTAGTAAACACATTGCTCAAATGAAGAACAGATCAGTCAAATTAAGTCAATAAATAGTAAATCAATTAATCAACAATAATTAAAACAAATGCAACTAAAAATCAACAAAATCACAAAAACTCAAAAATTATTATAAACCCAATAATTAAAAACGATTAAAAAGTTAACCCATTTTGCTTTAATTCGGATCAAATCCCCTAGTTGCTTCTCAATCTGGGTTTCTTTTTCCTCCTACCAATCAATCCCACTTCATTTACACTCCAAATTTTCCAATTTTTCCCCCAAAAAAACCAAAATCAAAACTTCAAAGATTACTCCTTTTTCCCACAAAAAATGCCCAAATCAACCCCATTGCTCCAAAACTCTATTTGCTGCAACTCCAAACTTTATCATTTCCTACTAACTCAACACAAAAACACCCTCATTTTCAAACAAATAACAACAAATTTAGAATAAAAAAAAAGTAACAGAAGTCATACAATTGTGTAAAGTTAGCCATAGATCGCCACCAAGAGGAGAGATAAACAGACTCATTTCTGGAAGCTTGTTAAACAATGGCGGAAGCAGATGAGGTAGGAGAGAGAAGAGCTCGACAAGCGTTAGAGTAGAAATGGATTTGGTGAGAACAAGGAAGTGGCCATTTGGAACTAGGGTTTTGCAGAGCTACCATTTTTGGCGATTTGAGGAAGAAGGGGGGACATGACACGGAAGAAAAGCAGGAAAGATAGAGAATATGGTGCAAAGAGGAAAATGACAACTAAAGAAAAGCATGAACAAGCCACACATTAAAAACCTAAATGACAAAACTAACCTAGGTAAAATTGGCAATTCAATTCAAAGAAAAAGCACGTATAGGGGCAATTCAATAATTTAATCAAGGGGCAGAGGGCAGAAGTGGCAACCCACTATTCACAAGGAACAGTACATTTGGAATAGTAATTTTGGTGTTTGAGACTTTATATATGTTATGTTATATTATACATACTCTCATTAGAGGTTTTAATTAGTCAAACCTCTCTTATTGCCCATGAGAAACAAACATGTTTTTCATACTCTGCTTTTAGTCCACAAGGGCAAATAGAAAATGAATCAAGCATTTCTAAAAAAAATTACAAAAAAAAAAAAAAAGGAACCAAGCATTATATAACACAGCCAAAATCTAAACATATGTATCAACGAAAGCAGCATAGCATATAATGGAATAAAAACAAATTTTGAGGTTTTGAAAAAATGACCTTCACAAAATACTTGGTGCAGCTCGTCTTTCTCTTCAACAATCTGACTCAAGGACATAGCTTTCTCATTGACTTTGGATTGCATTTCATCCAAGTTCTGGTTCTTTATGACAACCACATTTTCAGGTTCCTGTCTTGCCTTTTCACCTCCACCTCCCCCTTCCCCTTCTCCTCCACCTCTCCCTCCACCACCACCTTCCCCTTCCCCCTCCACCTCCACCAACTTTATCAGCTTTTATATCGACTGGAATTGCCAAGCTTAGAAATTTTTCATATACAACCACACTAGATATATTTTGTAAAGAGGGAGAATATTTTAGTTGACCTTTTTCCAAGGTAATCCCTTGTGTTTAGCTAAATAATAGCAAAAACACAATTTTCTATAACCCTTAACCATTTCCTCAACTTTATCATCAACATAAAAAGTTTCTCAAGTGTGTTTAGAAACTAAATCATTTCCTAATCGAATGAAAAATTTCCTTAATCTCATTGGCTCACAAAGTATAAGAATCAAAGTTTGAACTGAGGTTTTCATTTTAGTTATTCTTTGTAGGAAGATATCTTCAATAGAGTTTAAAAACTGATATTTTCCAATAAAGGATGGAAGTTTGGTATAGTTTAAATCGAAATCAACTCTTACCTTGACACCGTGAATCTTATGTTGTGTAGCTTCATCAAACTAAGAACAAACATGCCACAAATCACCCACGAAATACCCAACCAAATACACGTTCGGTTTAAATATCAATACCTTCACTAATATACCCCCATCGGCCACTAATGGGACGTGTTGATCAAGTTACTTCCGTGTGGTGAGAAAAGGTACGTGGAATCGAACTTGGGCACTCATAATCGGTTCTCAAAGCCATGACTAGAAAAATTTTAAGACATGAAATGGGATGTCAGGGTCATGTAAAGGATTTGTCACATTAGTAGCCGATGGAGTATATTAGTGAAGGTATTGATATTTAAACCGAACGTGTATTTGATTGGGTATTTCGTGGGTGATTTGTGGCATGTTTGTTATAAGTTTGATGAAGCCACACGACATAAGATTCACGGTGTCAAGGTTAGAGTTGATTTCGATTTAAACTATACCAAACTTCCATCCTCTATTGGAATATATCAGTTTTTAAACTCCATTGAAGATATCTTTTTACAAAGAATGACTAATAAAAAAAACCTCAATTCAAACTTTGATTCTTATGCTTTGTGAGTCAGTGAGATTAAGGAAATTTTTCATTCGATTAGGAAATGATTTAGTTTCTAAACACACTAGAGAAACTTTCTATGTTGATGATAAAGTTGAGGAAATGGTTAAGGGGTATAGAAAATTGTATTTTTGCTATTATTTAGCTAAACACAAGGGATTACCTTGGAAAAAGGTTAAAGGTCAACTTAAATATTTTCCCTCTTTAAAAAAAATATCTAGTGTGGTTGTATGTGAAAAATTTCTAAGCTTGGCAATTCCAGTCGATATAAAAGCTGATAAATTTGTTGATGGAGGTGGAGGTGGAGGTGGAGGGGAAGGGGAAGGTATCAAAGCTGATAAAACACTGTTAGGATCAAAACGTCCAACTATTTTACCTTCATCATTATTGATATCAATGAATTTCTTTGATTTTTTTGTTGACATCGGGCAGTCTGCAAAACACCTAGTAATATCAGTCCAGAAACTAGAGAAAAATTTGCACTAAAATCTCTGAAGCATTTCAGCAAACACCTTGCATGCAATTAAGAATATTGCAAAGAAACACAAAACAGAAATGGAAACCCTAGTAAATAAGACTCAGCATTACTTAGCCAAACATCAGTCCAGAAACTAAAAAAAAAAAAAAAGCACCACCAGACATCTTGCATAAAATTTAGAATATTGCAAAGAAACCAAAATACCAGAAATGAAACCCGTATAGAAGCAAGGAAGGGAAGGAAGGAGGGAAAAGCAGGGCAAGTTACCTCAGTTCTGATGTTAGGCATAAATTTTCGGAATGGTTCCCCAATAAATGGAGGTGTCAACTTAATAAGTCATTACTCTATTTATTGCTTAAAATTTGCAATAGTTTAGCTTTGACACTCTTTATGTAAAAAGTATTAATTTTTACTACATTATTATTTACTAATATATGAAAACCAAATGTTATCCCTAAAAAAAAAATGAAAACCAAATGTTATTGTGTACTATCTTGTTGATTAACTCTATGAGTATATTATCAAATGTCATATTTATTTATTATTTACATTTATACGTCTAATTGCATTTATTTAAGGTCAAACTTGTGTATTGGCAAATGTATCAATCGAACCGTTGCAAGAATTTAGGCTAACCAATTGGACTTGCAAATTTTAAGCATTAACACTAATAAACTCAATTAAAATACAAGTACAACCATGATAATATAACCTTTTTTTTATACCTAAAAACGACAATTTAATTTAATTTGTTGATGTTAGCTACTAGTTCAAATTGTAGTGCTCTTAACATAATGCATATATAACCATGATAATATAACCTTTTTTTATACCAAATCTAAGATATTGATAAACAATACTAATAAACTTGAAATTTTAAGAATATAGGTCCTACAAGTTACGAGGACATTGCCCATTCTATCCTTTCACCTCAACCCCCCCCCCCCCCCCCTCTCTCTTTCTTTTTACCTTTTAACTAAAGATATTGGAGATAAGAGTCGTATCAGCATGCATGCGTCAGAATAGTAAAACAAAGAGACAATCACAAATTCACAAGACTAATCTATTTAATTCCATTAAGAAAAAACAAAACAAAAGGAAAAAAGAAAAATAAATGTCAGTACTGCAGGAAAATGAAAATTCTAACCATACAGCATCAACACAGGCATCAGCAGAAGAATGCAAAGGAAAAAAAAAAAGTTACCTTTCTTTTTCTGTCATCGGAATGCTGAACTTCAATAACCTGATATGTCTACACATCATCAGCTGTGACCAGGTAGATCGGTTGTTTTGCCCCTGATATTTAAAAGTTCTAGAGTTATCAATTCTATAGAAAAAATCTGAGTACAAAAAGAAATATAGAATACATATAAAATAATGCAGAGACAAGGCAGAAAAACCATCTATGTATTTCACACATCCATCTTCCAGGCACACCCACTGCTCAACACCAAACAAGTAACTTTTTACAAATAGATTCAAAGAAGATTTCTAACAATTACATCTCAAAAAATAAAGGTCTCAAGAACGACCTCAAAGTAGCAGCTGATTGTTCTGTTTGTAGAAAAGCCACACGCTTGGATCTCTCGCCCAGGATAAGGTTACCTGATATATGAAGATCCTCTATTGCTGGCAATGGATCATCAGCAGCAGCTGCAGATTCCAACATGACAAACAATATCCATAAGCCATCATACTCGTTAAACATGAAACAAACAAAGAAACCACAAAAGGTTTACCCTCAGAGAAAGAAGATGAAGGTTCTTCAGGAACTGGTTGAAGACAAGAATAGGAAAAACTAGGATCCTCAATTGTGTTGGAATAAGGAGAGGTCCCTGAATTCCAAGTCGACGCATCATCATTTTCATGATATTGCCCCTCTGCAGCAGCTCCGCACACCTCTGAACTACTTACTGGATCCTTAAATTTGACCTGTTTACCAGGCGTAGCATGACATTCATCACGGCTGACAGCAACTTGTGTTGGTGCATCCTGGGTATCTCGATCCTTAAAATTAACCTGTCTACCAGGCGTAGCATGATATTCATCACAGCTGACAGCAACTTGTGTTGGTGCATCGTGGGCATCTGGATCCCTAAAGTCAAATAGGAGGCAAAAAAAATTAACCAAACGTCCAAACTATGCCAAAACATAAGAGAAAGATGTGATCACCAACCTAAATTCTTAACAGGAAGCCATACAAGATATTTCAAGCACACACAGACATATATACAAAGAATAAAATAGTAATATAATATTCTTTATTTGTGTACTCTAAGGACAAGTACTCTCCCACAAACAAGTTTATCTGAATGAAATGCACCCTCTCCTCAACATCCTCTATTTATGTACGCTAAATAACAATAGACAATAAAATGGACAAACCAGCATAGTGTAAAAAATTTCCCCAACTTTTAACTGCAACAGATAATCAACAGTTTGTCAAATCCTAAATTGAACCAAGGATGCTTATTAATTGGTCATTACTCTATCTAGTGGATCATTCGATCAAAAATATAAATCAGCAATATTGATCACATTCAGTTGAAGCAAATCTATGTTTATTCCAGGTGTGATAGCTCAGGACGGCACATCAGTGTTAGATGCTTCGTCGATGCTTTGTGCGACGATCTCAGCCGATTGTTTGTCATGAGACGGGTCAAACTGTGCCAAAGTTGCTCTAATTTCTGTAGTTGCACAATAGACATGCGTACCGTGAGACAAAGGGAGATGAGGCAACATATGCCCTATTACTGAGCCTGAAAACAATATACAGTAAAATAAAAATTAAGATTCACAGCATTTTCTTTCAATTTGTCACCACCTTTAAGGTTTTGTATTGCAACCATCATTTCAAATACAAAATCAGCTGAAGTCTAAGGCTCTAACTTATAAACCGGTAAAGCTAAGCAAACCACAAACAATCTGAAAAATTTATTGAGGGCAAGGTTTAGAATTTTGCAACCTGAATGAAAACAGTTAGAAATTCATTCATTTCTTTTAGCCACCATAAAATGACAGCGGATCCCAAACAACACTCTTTTCCAAAAAATTAAAAATAAAAAACACAATAAAAATCTTCAGCCACCCAAACAAACAACTTACTCATCCCATTCCCATCACTCCAGCTAATTCTGAGACACTAAAAAGAAAAGCATCAAGGTCCCTATATGTGCAGTCCAAGGTATAAATGGTATATAAGGTCAATAGAATAAAGGAGAAGATTCCAAAACGTAATCTTGGTTCCCATCTGAATCCTATATGGGACACAAAAGAGATAAACCCCCAAATCCCTAATACATACTTCCATGGACTGAGACAGGACTTTCAAGAGAAACTCCGAAGGGAATTACATAATAGTCATAACACAAAATAAAATAAGACACACACATAAAGCAACAATGCCTAAAATAAGACACACACATAAAGCAACAATGCCTTATAGTGTTCCTTCAAAAAAAACATTAAGTTCTTTACCTATAGATGTCCTGCTTTGAAAGCCTGAGAAGACATCTTCTTAAAAAGACTAATCCAAACCATCCTAACCTGTTAGTATTGAGTATCTCCAACACAACTGCCATTGCAAAAGCTTTGACTAGCTTCAAGATCTTATCTCTAAAGGGAAGACTACATTGATATCCTTTGTGCATTGTTAATGAAAAATAAGCAATAACACACCACTAAAATTAGCAGCCACTCACCTATCCAGGGAATCTAGAAAAACTTAAATGAATAAAAATCTTAAGCACAAGTCCTAAAAAGTACAATCAAAGATTGAAATAACACAAAACTCCTGGAACACTACATACTTCCTAGTTCCCATTTGTAATGTGGTGTTACATAGTAATTACATGAGAAAGCCTTCTTAGAGATTTTGAGATACCAGATTCAATAACCACCCCCCCCCCTCCCCCCCAAAAAAAAAAAGAAAAAAAAAAGGTTAAAAATGCACCGTCATTGTTACAAAATCCACTCGTATTTAAAGCCAAAACTAATCTGTCATTGCTGGGCTTACTTTCTATGTAAAAAGCTAGCCAAGATTGATAAGCCCCTAGCTTTAAGTATAAGCCAAATCAAAAGAGACTAAAGGTGTGATGAAGAAATAATAAGGGTGGCCAGCGAGATATATACCTAATGAACAGCAAGAACATGTAGATGGATAACGAAACAAGAACGAACATAAAAGAGAAATACAATAGTTCAGATATTTATATAGCTAGTGAATCTAGACACCAATTCCCACCCCTTCAATATACGATCCAGCCATCACACTGTATGGCCAACCCTCCCCACCCCCACCCCCCTTCCCAAAAATAATATAGGATAAGAAAAAACACTATTAATTGCTGTGTAAACAATGTTGGGGTGAAAGTGGGAAATCGGCATTTTACCAATGAGATTGCTGACCCAATAGTAATAGGCAAGAGTGGCCATCTGAAAAGTAAAAATATCAAGACATCAATTGTCAATCTCTTGCAAATTCTACCACATTTAGGCATTTACAATGCATGATATTATCCACAGTGAGCTAATAATCTCACTACAAAAAACATTAATCTCGAGGCCAAACTTTCAATTGCAATTTTAGCTAGCAATCAAGCTTAATTGACAAAGGAAAAATGTTGTCTTTACTGCCACATAATTTAACTCATTACTCTGTTGGAAGCTCTGGCTTTTACCTCTTATTTTCTACAATTCAAATTGTTTTTGCTATATAGGCCAACATACAGCTTTTACCTCTTATTATCTACAATTCAAACTCATTACCAGGATAATGATACGGTGTTTTTTTTTTTTTTTTTTTTTTTTTTTTTTTTTTTTTTTTTTTTTGTTTTAAACACAACATTTTGCTATTTTCTGTCCAACAAAAAAAAAATACTTCGTGCCATCAATCATATAGCAAATGAATAGTTTCAACCCCATTCCAACACATTGTAGTTAACTTATTTGTGTTAATGGCAAACCAAAGAAGTTATATTATTCCTACCATAACTAGAAACTACATTCATAAAAAAAGAACCTTTTTTCATCCATGTTATAGACAAACACCAAAAATGTGATTCTACTAAACTCAAACTATAGTAGGACTCATTAACATACAAAGCAAAGACCAAAGATTACATCTTTTAATCAATCTCAACTAACCAAGTCCGAGGAAGCCTCGAGTCTTGTAGGGGAGAACCCCAGGCCTCACATCAAATCTCGTCCACATCAATTTTCCTTTCCAAAAAATAAAAACTTTGATAGTACTAAATTACCTTGACCAAATTTCTCAGTAAGCAAAGCCAAAGAATCAAATTTCTCAGTAACCAAAGCCTTTCAATCTCCGCAAAAGCTTCTCTAATCCGAGGACAATCAAACCTGTAAATGTTAAAAATCAGGAAAACTTGAACAATAAACCAAATCACAAGTCAAAATCTTCCAAGTACGAATGTTTACCTTTTTAGGGTATTGTTGTTTCGACATCGAGAAATGCGGTTTCTGATCGTTCTTCCGCCATTGATGTAGTCTTCCCGCAAACAGCGTAACCATTTTAGTCTTCTGATTTCCTGGTTCCTTTTTCACTGTCAAAGAATTCGAATTTCCTGATTTACTCATCTTCAACAACTCTGATCTTTCACAAACACCCAAATTCAATTCACGATTCAATTCAGAAACAGAACAAATATTCCTCGGATCCAAATTTTAAATCAAAAACAACCGACATTCAATCTAAACTCACCAAGTATGATTTGTTACTTGTTTGAGGTTCTATTCAGGAAGAGAGAAGAAGATAAGATGAAGAGAGAGAACAAAAAACCCAATTTCAGTTTCAGTTTCAGTTTCAGTTCTGTCTTATGACTTGTACACTTTAAAGATGCTTTTAAATTAGACCTGATCAACATATGCCCGACCCAATTTTGGATAGGCCATGGGCATATTCAATAGTAAATTAGGTCAAGTCTAACCCGGTTTGAAGTAATTTTTTGGACAGGTCTTAGACATGCATCTTACAGTTTTATAGTTTCTTTTTACCCAACCCAAAAAGTCCGCTAGGCCCAATCAAAATGTGCGGGTTTTGGACGAGCCTTCAGCCTAGGGGGGCAGAGGGTAAAGTTAATAACTCACTATTCACAAGGAATAGTAAAATTGGAATAGTAATTTTGGTGTTTAGGACTTTTATATACTCGTAGGTTAGATATTTTGAGGTGTGGCCCGTCACTATCGACCTATCACACGAATTGGCCCGACCCGCTATTTACCCTATAAAATGTGACCTACTTTGACTTGACCCGCACTAATTCTGACTCGACTCGCTCAATACCCAATTCTACTAACTTTAAAATACCGTGGTTATTTCAAATGTGCTTGGTTTGATTCTCTTCCTTGTAGAAAAAAGGCTTGTTTCAACTTATCTAGGAGTTGAACATCCAATCCGTGACATTACCATTAGAGATCGGAGGTACATAGTGCATAAATAAAAATACATTATTGAAGACCTTATTGAGTGCCTATCGTTTTTTGCTTAGTCTCAACGTCCATGCCTGTACGAACAGCCAATGAGCCAATGACTATTTTTGCTTGGGATGACCTTGTTCACATTATTAAGGAGATCCTAAGATGCTTGCTTGGAATGAGCAACCCATTAGTGTTGGCTCGTCATTTTATAATTGTTTGTTTTTAATTGAACTGCATTTCAAAAGAAGTTGCTACCTTCAGACTTGCCAATTATATATTTAATCACAAGTACTAAATGCAGTATAAAATAACTTAAATGCAGAAATGATAAATAATTTTACAGAATTCAAACGACCAAATTGTCCTTGAAATAAAAAATTATAACTCCCAATCTATTTCTTTATATATATGTTGTTAAAGAGTATTCTCAAACCATAAAATGTAATGAATCAATAGAGAGCTTCTTCCCCATTCAAGGGATAATTTATGTTTTATATTCATGGTTCACATAGTTTTATGATATGTGATGTGGATCTTCATATTCTCCTATATTAAATTTGTTCTTTGGTTGTTCAAATTGTATTGATATCGATCTCACTCAAATCTGGTATAAAATCATACCATTACGATGAATATTGCTACCATCTTAATTTTAAAACTTTATATATGACAATAGAAATAATATGTACTGTTATGATTTTGTTACTGATGCAAACCTCTTCAAGCTTATTTTACTGAACTCATTATCTGTGCTGCTATATATATGTATGATGTGGATCAGTATTGCGGGTACAGGAAAAAAAAATTGTATGAGTACGTAGTTTTTTAGGAAATTTTAAATTTTGGTACCTCGGAAATGACCTCTATTGATTTTTGGTACCCATCTAAAATTCTATTTTATTTTAGTACTCATCAAAGTCACAAAATATAGGTTTTGGTACCTGCGTTCAACTTCCGTTAAACTTTCCGTTAGTGGGGCTCTGCCACCTTACAGCCACTCCTTAGCCACCTTCAAGCCAGTAGCAACCAGGCACGCAACCACCTCACCTCGCCACCATGACTGCAACCACCGTTAGTCACCGAATCAACCACCAACACCTCCAATTCGCACCACCGCAACCACCAATTTGAGCGGTCACACATAATTCGCAGCGGCGCCGCTCCATCACACCACCAGCACTTCCAATTCGCACCAGCGTCGCTCCATTACACCACCTTCACCAAAACTACCTCCTGCAACACGCACCAGCCATCCTTCCCAAAACAACCATCATCACCGACCATCTCCTCCACCGCCGCACAACGACAGCTGGCCCCCAAAACCCTAAAACCCACCTGAAACAACCCAAAAAACCACCCGTTTTCTAGGTTGTTTAAAAACCCTAAACGAGTTTGGTTTTACGGGTTATTTCAGGTGGGTTTTAGGGTTTCAGGAGCCGATGAAAAGGGTGGTTGTTTCAGGGAGGGAGAAAGCCGGCAAACAGGGAAGGGGGTTGTTTCGATGAACGGTGGTTGTTTTGGAGGGCCAGCTGTTGTGCGACGGTTTTACTTCTATTGTGGTTGAGATCGGAGGGGGAAAAGGGAGGAGGTCGGCTTGTCGGCGCCGGGGGAATGTTTGGGCACCGGCCGCCGGGAAGTAGGGAGGGGTGGCTGTGGCTGGTCGTTTTTTTTTTTTTTTTTTTTTTTAGTTTTTTTTTTAAATAAATTAAATTATTAAATAATTAGATAATGGGCCCCACTTAATGGAACCCTAACGAATTCTGTTAAGTGGTACTAATTTGTAACTTTGATGAGTACCAAAATAAAATAAAATAAAATTTTAGATGGGTACCAAAAATCAATAGGGGTCATTTTCGAGGTATTAAAGTTCAAAATTTCCAAGTTTTTATTGAGTTGTCAAAATTATTTTAGCCTATTTATATAGTTCGTATAATTTTTTTTGAACCGATACCCTCCATTAGGCCCTAGAAATTTGAACCGGTACTTTCTATTATGCCCCAAAATTTTGAACTGGTACCCTTATTAGTCCCCGGAAATTTGAACCGGTACCCTCTTCTAGGCCCCGAAAATTCGAACCGGTACCCCTTATGAGGCCTCGAAATTCGAACCGGTACCCCATATGAGGCCTCGGAAATTCAAACAGGTACCCCCTATGAGGCCCCGAAAATTCGAACCAGTACCCCCTATGAGGTCCCAGAAATTCAAACCGGTACCTTTTGTTAATCCCTGTAAATGTCTAGTATAAGTTTGAAATTTTAGTTGTTCGACTGTTCATCTGATAATAAGATTTTGTGGAAAAAAACAATAGCACAAAATATACATACCTTAAAAGTTCGCCGTATTGCAATTCATCATTGTTTATGAATTTGTACAAAATTAAATATCAAATGGGGAGTAGATGATTATATTAAAATAAGGGTAAAATTTAAATATAATCTTTATTTGAAATCATCTTATTCAGCATTTAGGCAAAATGCTACATGCATTTAGTACTCCCTTATTTAATTAGCTGACACACACATCGAGTGCGTAACCGCCCTAATTAATTACTCAACTAGTGTTTATTGGCCCGGCCGGTTGATGCCCCGCGTTACACGCTATATATATTTTAGAAAATTGAACCTTATGCTTTTCACTTATATTTTTTTTTACATATTGCCATATTGGTAACTGGTAACGTGGTTGGTGATTGTCTTACATGGTTGATAAATGGCTGACGTGACGTAATTAAAAAAGACTGGCACACTTTGAATTCCTTTCGGGTTGGATGCTGGATCCTGCCCGATAACATGAAGCACATTAGCAAACACAGTCGTTTGCTACTTTGCTCAACTAAAAATCCCCCAAATTAAAAGAGAGGGAGAAAGAAAGGCGGAAATGGTGATTCAGAGTCTGAGGCTTCCTTTCGCAAACCACTCTTCATTTCGAACGGCTTATCGTTCTACTCTTTTCTTCTTCCCTAACCATCACTCCTCATCTTCTTCAGGTTTTTTCTTTTTTTCTTTCTTCTCAATTTTATTATATGCTCTTCAATTTTTTTTATACTTCTTTCTTCATTATATCAAATAATAAACTGTATCTTTAATGATATTCGTGCTAATTCTATTTGAAAAACTCATTAGTGCTGAAAATCAATTGTGGGTTTTTTCTAATTTATAACAGAGTTACAGAGATGAATAAAAATTGAACCTTTATTATAGTTATAAGAATCTGGGTTTTGCTAATTGCCTAATTGAATACTAATGTTTTGGATATTCGTAACAAGTTATAGCATGGTTAATGTCAAATCTTCTCTATTTGCCCCTATATGTTTATTCTAGCTGAAAATATCATTTAATTTGCTAATTGTTATTGTAATTATTATCTTTAATAGTACAAGTATAAGTACTGTAACAAATTTTTCTCAAAAAAATACAAGTTCTGTATTGTTAATAGAGTTAAAGTTGATTTATTGTTTTTTTTTTTTTTTTTTTTTTTTTTTTTTGGGGGGGGGGGGTCATGTGAATTGGTACCAGTGAGATGTTTCAGAGGTAATCAGCATTGTTCCATCAGAAGTTTCTCTGCAAAGTCTGCCAAGTTCTATCCATCAAAGAAGTAAGCTTTTGTTGCTAAAGTATGCATTGATTTGTTACAGAAATTCAGTGGAGTAATTTGCGTATTTTCACACTTATTGTGTCAATATAGTCATTGGGTTTTTCCCTTCTTCCAATTGTTAAATTATCTCAATGAATTGGATTTGTTATGGCCATTATCGACTATTCGTCTTAATACTAATCTGAAAAGAGTTGTTGAAGCACAAATAATTCAGTACTGAGGTCATTATGGAGCATTGATACTAGCTATTTGAAAAGTGCTGAAATCAAACATATAACTTGGATGTCTCAATAGTAGTGTTATTTTGTTTGTTAACATTAATTTGCTCACATTGTATGTATAAGAAAACATGAATGGTTGGGTTTCATAGATGTGGTGCTGTTAGAAAGGAATGTTTCTGGATTGCCAGTCAGATTACATTGTTAATATTGTATTTCATTCAGTAGCTGTAAAGATATAGTGAACTGCACATGTAGGTCAATGGTGGTCACAGCCAGCCAAGATGCATCCACAATATGGCAATAAATGTCCTAGGTGTTTTGCTTTTTAGGGCGGTGCAACTAATGGATATCCGCCAAACAGTATGAGAATGAACTTTTAATTGTGATGTGCCTTATATGATGGATCTGTTCGGCATTATCTTTTTCCTATGAACCATGAATTCCTTATATTTTGTATCTTCGACTCTTCTAGGTTGCTTAATCTTCTTTTCAAGTTTGAGAATGGTGATGTATGCCTATTAATAACTTCAAAATGTTTTTGAACAACTTGAATGTTTATGTTTTTGTAATGACTTGACATGATGCTTGTCTAAAAACTGCTAAGAGTAAGATACCGTGTTCACTTCGTGCTTTGGTTTGAAAATGATCCATTTATCCCTACCCTGATCTTAACAATTCTCATTCTGATATAATATATGAAATTTGACATTCTTAGGAAAAAGAGACTTGATGAGGTATGCTTGGAGAGGTTTCAGCAATATAGCCGAACCTTCATACAGTCATGGATAATACAAGGTAAGATTTGCCTCAATAAGGGCCTTATACGTTTATGTACTTTGTGATAGGAGTCTTGTTGGGGACAACGCAGTTGCAACATTCAAGTATCTCATATCCATGTAAAAGTCCTGGGAACAAACATCAGTCAGGTTGGGACGTAGGTTTCCCTCTTCAGATTTTTTATAAAATCCATGTTGACCTATTGTAATTAATTTTAGTCTAAGGAATACAAATTTATTCAGCCACTACTCAATTTGCTCTCTCCAATTTATGGTAACTAATGGTATAGTCTCAGTCCACTCTCAGAAGCTGCAATTGTTAGTGACGTGTTTAACATGCATTATCTGTGAAGTTCGGTTATGATTTTCTGTTAGTCAATATTATGTTTGGCAAACCAAATATATTAGAACATCACTTGGGATACTTGCTGATAGAATTAGTTTTGGAAATTGCTGAATTTCTTAATCAGTTTTGAACATTGAAAATTTTCAAAATAGAGTTACAAAAAAACGTAATTCTGAAATGTGTTTGCGGTCACTACACCATGTTGAATCCTGCTAGCACTTTGGTTATTGTTCTCTGCAGAGTCATGGTTGTGAGTGTGAATGTGACTGATTTCCATAACATTTAAAAAAGAAAATCATCTATTGAAATGACTATTCTGTAAGTATCAAATATTTGTAATACTTATGCGTGGAAGCTGATTTCTTTTGTCTCTTCTTTGGTTGTAGGGAAAGTGTGTGTGAATGGTAAAGTGGTGAATAAAGCTGGGACACCTGTCTCAAATGAAGCTGTTGTGGAGATAATTGCAGAAATTCCTAAATATGTATGTAGGTGATTACTCTGTAATGAAACCCTATTGCTTTTGGTATTGCAAAATTTATGCACGTTATAATGAGAAACTACTTGTATGCTGACATCTGCTTCAGAGCAGGATACAAGTTGGAGGCTGCTATTGAGCAACTAGAAGTCGATGTTACTGGGAAAGTTGCTCTCGACTCTGGATTGTCAACTGGAGGGTTTACTGATTGCCTGCTCCAGCATGGTGCAGCGTATGTATATGGAGTTGATGTAGGCTATGGGCAGGTATCCTTACAACTCTTGATCCTAAGTAAATCTTGAAAGTTTAAATACCCAAAAGATATTAAGGGCAGTGTAAATGGGACTGGGATAAGATTGGCATGATCTGACGCACTTGATTGGATGCTATTAGGATAAAAGGAATATACTTAAGTTGATTATGACATCTGCTTTGTGGTTTGCAAAGAGAAATTTGATGTTTTATAAAAATTATATTACTGAAAGGATCCTTGTGCCTCCGATATTCAGACTTTTCACTATTATATTGGCTTGCTGAATAAACATATCGACATATCCACCAGGTGGCAGATAAAATTCGTCGAGATGAGCTAGTCTCTGTTATTGAGCGGACAAATTTAAGATATCTTCCTGGACTTCCGCAACAAGTTGATTTGGTGACTTTAGACCTTTCATTTATTTCCATACTTGTGGTATGATCAAGCATTAGTTATAACTTCTTGTTTAAATGTCTTTGATGCATGAAATTGTTTGTAAGCTGCTATATCATTTAATGAACTTCAATTCTAGCATATTGATCTCTTCTGTCTTATTAATATATTGACACAGGTGATGCCTGCGGTGATTAAGGTGATGAAGGAGCAGTCCACATTGATCACCCTTGTGAAACCTCAGTTTGAAGCAAGGAGATCCCAGGTAACTGCATCTTCTGCTGTCTCTTAATTATCATCCTTAATTTTGTTGGCCCTTTAGCTACAAATATTACTGTTTGACAAGATGAATTTCTCAGAAAGAAAATTTTATGTTATGTACTCCAATATATATATATATATATATATATATATATATATATATATATATATATATATATATATATATATATATATGTGTTTTATTACTAGGAAGTTCACATTATCTTTATAAGATTGCCTGGAACCATATTCTGGAGCAGTATGTAACACTTGAACTAATTTGGTATCCAAGTGGAGTCATGTATAGTCATGGATCATGTCCTAGTGTGTGTGTGAGAGATTTTGAGCAAGAATGAGGTTTTGGTGGTGATGGCTGTGTTAATTGGTTTGTACTTTAGCATTTTTCTTAGGCAGAAAAAAGGACATAGAGTTGAGCTAACTTGTCCTTTTCATTTCTTGTTTCAGGTGGGAAGTGGTGGTATTGTTAGAGATCCAGAGGTCCATAAAGAGGTAACTCATCAACTTGTTTTAATGGTTATTAAGTTGGTTATAATATTCGCCACCGTCCCTCTATATGTTGCCTTCTACAAACTATTTCACGTCTAACTTTTGCACCATAAAGAGGCAACTTATCTACGTGTTTTAATTATGGGTTATTAAGTTGGTTGGATGATTCTCTAGCCTCATACATACATTTGCCTTTTAAGCTTTTGCATCTCTGTACTTCTTAGGGTTACTCCGAATCTTGATTCTTCTGAGGAAATGAGATCATATAAACTCTTATTCACCTTATCTGTTGCCTTTCCCTCCCAAAGTTGAGGGATTAAAATACTCTGTATAAGAAAATGCTTGAATTTCAAGAAGTGGCTTTTCCTGTCATTGAATGGTTGGCAACAACTTATGTTACAGCCTAGCTTTCTAAAATAGGATTTCGTGTAGAATTTTTGGACTGCTATGACCTTGGTTAAGTTTGCTTTCTCTATACTAATATCATAAGCTATTGTAGCTTTTGTTGCTGCTCTGCATCACTGAAAGTGAGTATTTGGTTTACTGGACTGCTTGCTGCAGGTTTTAGAGAGGATCATAAATGGGGTGCAAAGTTTTGGGTTTGAAAGCAAAGGATGGATTGAGTCTCCTTTGAAGGGGGCTGAGGGTAATATAGAGTTCTTGGTTCGCTTTGATCGAACAGCTGAGGCAACCACGTAGACATGTTTTATCATTATAAAGGCAATTCACCATGTATTATCTGATATGCTCCTGGGCTCTTCATGAAAGGAAACTGCACCTTTGGAGGAGAAAACTTTTGCTGATGAAGAATGAGTTGAGAAATGAATGTCTCTTGGTTTTAAACGTCTGCAATGGTATTTTAGTATGTACCAGAAATTGTGATGATTTATGCATACGCTTGGATTTAGGAGGGAATGAAGAGAAATTACGAGTTTGAAGATAATTCCTGATTAAGCTCTGTCAATAGACGCAAAATAACTGTAATTCCTGGTTAATATTCTGATTATAAATGGGTAACCAGAGCATGTTGCATTTTCCCTTCTGTTCGGAAATATAAAGCCATATCTGATGTTTGGGGGTCTTTATGTTGTAATTATTCTCTTTAATAATTTATCTCAAGTACTTTGGTTGGAGAATCTTTTGAGTTTCCTTCATCCCAATTCAATAAGCATGGTAAATGTATGTTAGTTTGAAATATCATGGACACTGCACAGGTTTTGTCGTTATCATATCACTAACTTTTAACTGAAGCTTTAGCCTAAAATATGAACAAACCAAAGAAGGCCAAGATACCTTTGAGCAATGAGTTGGTCTACAAATATTGTTCTGCAATATATGAGCAACCAAATTACTTAGCAAAACCAATGTGATGTTTTGCACTGAACAATGTTGATATTCCATTTAGGTGCTTTAAAAAAACACCCAAAGCTCTCTACAACGGGTGGGAAGAGGCAACAGAAGCTAGGCCTTCTCCAGCTAGTTCTTGTATGATTATTTACAGCCAAACAACAAAAAATTAAGCCTGCGCGAATGACCATCCAACACTAGCAAGTTTCTACGGAAGCCATTATGGACAGTACGGAGCATGTTGGAAAAAACATACATGAAGCATTGCACCAAAAATCAAATCACACTCTCACCACCTCAACAACTGCCCAATTTCTCCTGAGAGTGAGAAGAATTATTCGTGATGTACAGCTGCCATCTGAAGGGGCATCCTAAGGCCAACAACCTGGCTAACAACTGATAGCCATGATATGATGTAACATTCTGTCCCAACTTTATCTTCAGACAGTGAAGTATTACTCAGGAGTAGCTTCATCAATTCATTAGTTCCACATGGATGTAGTGTGTACCACAGTCTATTCAAATAGGGATGCTCCTGTAATTTTGTGAAACTGACAAACATTAGTTAAACTCAAACAAGACGATCTGAAACCTGTTCTTGCATTAGTTGAATATATGCTAGTCTTTGATTCTAAAATCTACAACTAGTTTATTTGCAGTCATCAAAAGTCAGTATATCAAGAGAGGCTGGTTTCAAAATTACACCAACATAAATAAGAAGAAAGAAAAAAAAAAAAAAAAAAAGGCCGACAGGATTACAAAGCTTAAAATTTACTCTGGTTGATTTAAGATCACAAATTTTATTTAACTTTTTCAGTTTCTCTGTTGTTCAAGTGATTGCAAAAAATTAATCATTGGGGAAAAAACAATACAATAGTTACTATTCCTTTCTTGATTGGGGGCCAATGTGACATAAATTTTTACAAACATCAGGATCTATTATGCGTTCGAGAGTAGAATCAAAAAAGGATGGGGGAGATGCCTACTAGCTTCATCTAGGTCAAATGGCAAGCATGAAACTTACTAATAAAAATATTCTCGTGACAGCTATTCAAAATTAAAGTATTCTTGTGACTGAAACATCCTTCATAATTTCTAACGCTTTTCCACAAGTTATGCTTACCATCTAACATGACTATGAATACACAACCAAGCATTTGAACCTAAAAAGTAGGAATGTGGATGGGCAATTGGGCAATGAAGAGGGCCCTATCCGTGAAGCCTTATGGTAAGTATTTTCAAGGGTTACCACGGCTCAACATTATAGCATCACTTTGGTTATTTCATCAACATTCAGCAGAATTCCTTGACATTACCTGATAGTTATTCTCCTGCTTTATGACACAACATGAAACCATAGACAACTAAGACAAGTGAAGTGGTGATATAGTATGAATCCATTCAGCAAATACGACAGCCATAGTCACAGTGTAGAAGTGTTTATATATGTTAGATATATAACGTTAATAAATACGACATAAAATCTACAAAGGATCTGCAAAAGAAAGCCACAATAATAAGAAAAAAAAAAATCACCTGTTGAGTTATAAATGTCCACTTTGATTCAGTAAGCACCTCAACAGATCTGGAAGGAAGATCTCTTTCAATTTGATCCAACATTAGTGTTTGTCCATCTGCATTTCAACAAAACATAAACTTTGAGATATTATTCATTTATGTAGCTATACAGCATGCAACACTCGTCCTTTGTCACAGTCGACTGGATGAAGAAATATGCATCACCACTCACCACAAAACAAAAAACCTCTACGTTCCACATATTAACATGATTTACAAGCATGGAAAAAAGAAATCCAAGTGATCATACCACTTAATGACACATAGCATGATTGTATAATGGACACATACCTGAATTATAACCGCGGAAATATAACACCGGAATCCTGTAGGAACTGCTGTATACTATATGGAAGTCATAATAATGCTCTTCCTGGGAAGCCTCCTGAACCTGGAAACCAGAATCATATAAAAGATTTCTCAACCACCATATCACATTTTAGCAAGATTTTCAATAACCTTATTACGTCTTTACATTGAAGCACAGTTATAGGAGCATGTTAATGAAACAGTTTTATACCAGCCTTGCAGGATCATTACAATCCTCGCTCTCTAAGCAGTTAGGCATTTCTTCCACAGCATAACCAACTTTTTCATCATCTATCTGCATAGAATACAAGAAATCAAAACTAAACACATAGCCAACAACTCCCATCATTCATAAGAAACAGACCTTATCAGACCTCATAATGCACATCTTCTCCAGTGATAAATATCCATCTACCTGGAACGATACAGCTTAATTAAAAGACTGAACTGAAAGCTATCGCGAAAAATCAGCACAGAAGAAAACTAGAAAAGTATGTAAATGCGGTGACTTGTGAACCAATAACAGGTTACTAAAAGAGAACAGCAGTTACAGCACATTTTAACCAACAATAACTACGTTCCATTATAAAAATAAAAAATAAAAAAAAATAAAATCTGTACATAAATCAAGAAATAACCTTCAAAGAACAGTGAACACAGGAAAAACAACATGATAAATCCACAGAATTATGTTAATAAGGTGTATCATAAGTAAGTCACTAACAAAATATATATGTAGATAAATATGCCACATTAAAAAATAATTCGAAATATCAAAACATCATATTTTTTACTCAGCTCAATTCCCAGTAAGCAATGTGAACTATAAACATCATATTTCAGCAATTAGCAGTGACAGATCAAACGATAGAAAATTTCACAAAATCAATAGATATAAACAATAACCAAAGTAAACTTATCCCCCCTCTTTCCGAATTTATTTGTCACATTACTAATTCAAAATATACACTATCAACTCAACCATTAATTCTGGACAAAGAAGACATTACTTCGTGGGAATTGAGGAAAGGTGGGTTTAGACAAGAAACCCAAGACCAATTAGGAAGAACATGATTATGAACAAGGCAAACTTTCTTCCATTTCTCAGCAAAAGCAAGAGCTCCTTTATGAAATTCATCTGGTGAAATTGTCCCATCCCACTTTGATTCTTCTGAATTCATCATCAGAGCCTGAAATTGAACAAAAACCCAGAAGAAAAAAATGTTGAAAATTTATTAAATCCACTAATCAGATTAATAACCCCAAAAATTGAAGCATTATTGCCAAAAGTTCCACAAATAAATGGGTGAAGACAGTGATGGATTGTTTGATGATTAGAAGAAATTAGATAATTACCCAGTTTAAGAATTAAATTTGGCACTGTATGCTGTACAGTAGATAAGAATTTCGGTAGAGGAGGGAAATATGAGTATTACCTGAGTAAAATGTTGGAGATTTCGCCAGAAAAAGAAAGATGAACAATTTTGAGTTTTTGACCAGAGGTTGTAAGCCTAGGGTTGCTAATTGAGTGGACTGTTGACCAGCTCGAGAGCAACTCAAATTCGATTCGGTCTAACGCTTGGTCAAAACTTGACTCGAGTTAGCTCGACTCGAATTCGACTCAACTCAAGATATTAACGAGCACGAGTTGAGCAAGTTCTAACTCGACTCGATAAGCTCGTGAGCAACTCGATAATATATTTTATTAATATAGAATTTACAAACAAAGTTACCATTTTTAAACAAATTAGACACTTAATAAGTTTATTAATATAGAATTTACAAACAAAGTTATTCGTGAAAATTAACGAGCACACTTAATATAGTATACGTTTATTAATACACCTTGATGAATTAACGTCAATTAGGGGTAGTGATTAGTGAATACTAGGAATAATATGAATGTGAGCGTGAGTCCTTGTACCAAGAGTTATTCGTGAAAATTTCAAAAATAAAAGGTTAGTAACAGAAGCTCAATGCAATATCCAAGATTACCACACAGATAAATGTTCCTCAACTTCTGTACAAAGCTCCTTGTAGCATATAATATACAATTATACATAATCATAATACAAGTCTTTTTGTTCTTATGTTCTTCCCATCAAAACTGAGATCAAAGTCATGCAGAACAGAGCCAGGAAACAATGACTACAATCAGGATTTTCCAGCATAGGCGCATACACTGAACTGGATTGCCTCCAGCTGCATTTCGTGTTCAACAATTGCATCTGCGATACCACCCCTTACAAAGCCCTTCTCCAGTTTAAGCAGGTATATGTAAATTACCTGAAAAAAAATTTTAAGCCTATCAAATTAGACAGTATACAACAATGTGCAGCTGCATGGAATACAAACATTGAAGAAAGTGGATAATGAGTATGTAATATCTGTTTACATTCTGAAAATGCAGACTACAGCAATCTGCTGGTTATAAAAATGGAAGCCATGTCAAGGTGACAAGAAAGATGAAAGGGAAAAGAAGACAGACATCTATGTAAAGATGTTGCACTGCCATTCAAATTTGCCTTTGGCACAGCCATATCAACCGGGTGCAATCCTTCTAAACAATAAAATAATTTTGTAAAAACTAGATATACCACATCTGGAGTCCAGAATATGGTCTACTAATTTCATATATTCTAGCATCATAGACATTTTAAAACAGAATATAGGTTTTTTTTTTTTTTTTTTTTTTTTTTTATCCATCAACTATCATGTGCCTATACTTTTATGCATGTCTCCAGTGATTCAGCTACTTAATGAGAGATGTAACAAGGCAAATAAAGAATATCATGCATTAAAGACCTGCGATGTACCAAAATGTCCTCTTAAATCACTTCTCAGAAGTGGCGGCTTGAACTTGATCCGTATCAGGCTGAATGGCAGCACCATTACTTTCACATTGTTGAGATCTTTTGACCTTCTTTTTAGGGTATACATGCACAGATGGTGGAAGAAATTCCTGTTGAATCTCCTGCAAGTAAAGGAAATTCTAGGTCATGATTATTAGAACAACTTTAAAATGCAAGATTGATAGGACTAATGTAGAAGCCAAGAAGGTACCCTCCAGCCATTCTTGCCACTGATACCACCCTTGATTGCATATGCCTCTTTAAAGCCATTCTTCACCAATAATTCAGCCACTTTGATTGAATTACCATCAAAACTACCTTACAACCAGAGAAAGCACATTAAAGTGATGAAATTATAATTTTTCAAGATTATACTAAATGGACATTAAAAGTCAATAAATGATTACATTCCAAAATGAAAATCTATTAAGCATTAACATGAATTTCAGTGGTGCAACATGCACCAGGGTTTATATGAGATTTGCTACAGAACATCATCTCAATATGTGCTTGTTGATTTCATTGAAACAAAGCACATTCACATCTTCATGTCAAATGCTCATAAAAAATTTAAAAAAAACAATACTGTAATAATAACTGATACAACCTAAATGGGGATTGGATATAATTTCGTTTCAAATTTTGACATGGCATCATGTAGAACTTCACTGCAGAGTCCTTGTTTGATATTTATGATTCACAAGACAGATAGGGTGGATACAAGACCATGGAATGCTTCACATAGACTGATTAAACAGGATACAGAGTAACTACTAACTAGCACACAGTCCTCAAGCATATAGAAAATAGAACAGAATCAGGTTATAGACCCATCGGAAGGCAACTTAAGTTAAATTACACAGATTTACTAAAAATAAATCCCTCACTAAACACAATTTCATGGGCGTGGGGTTTATAGATGTTGGCACTGTTGTTGCCTCAAATTTGTTACGAAAAGTCGCAATTGTCAATTGCACCCATGAATTCGAGTGCTTTCTATTAGAAGATAAGTTACTGTATAATGCCTACATGGACCTCAAATTGATGTACAGCACCTTGCTCATATTCTTGTTCACAATGAGATCGTTGATTATAATTAAAGGGGTATATTGAGGAATATATACATTATATGCCGGTATGAGGATGAAACCGCCCGTAGGGAGATTAGAGAAAAGCCTCAACCAGCACTCCAGCAGAGTACAGCAGTCATTCCCAAACTATTCCCAAGCACTCTTCATTCCCAAAAAAATTTCCAATTTATTATTATCTCCTCCCCTCAAATACAACTACCATGTGTTATATTCTCAAACATGTGTTCACCCATTAAAGTTCAGTTTCGCAACACGAAAGCAATTGAAACATATCAGCTCAGCAATCATCAGTACACCTAGCATACCGAGTTCAATTCTAATCACAATCCAACTTCACACGTCATCCAAAATACTAAGCATATTGGATGAAATTAAGCTAAAATTAAATTAATCTAATACAATTCTTTAACAACAAAAGATGATTTAACACAGAAATTTAAAATAGATAATGAAAGCAAACACTCACTTATCCACAATGCAAACACTAGTATTGTTGGGATCAGCAAACTTTTCCAATACCTTCTTCAAAAACCCATCTAAATCACCCTCATCATAAGTGACCTGAACCACATCCTTCTTAAACATCCTCAAATTTGGAGAACCCAGAAACCCTAACATCTTCTCATCCCTAATATCCAACATTTGAAGACTGGAATCGTCCCGCAATTTCTTAAATGCATTAAGGGCAGATATAAATTTGTATTTTCTCAAGTATTCTTCAGATAAAGGAAGAACTATTAGCCAAATGAAGGTAACACTAAAAACAAAATAAGGGTATTTGTTGAAAAAATCATTAATTGAAACCAGAATTGATTCAAGGTTGATTCTTTGCCCAGATGGGTCTGCAATTTCGGATGCAAAAGAGGGATATGAAGGGAGAAAATCCATTAAAATGGGGAGAGAAATTTGGGGTTTAGAAGAGAGAGAATGTATAAAAGTTGAGATTGGATTTCCATGGAAATGATTAGAGGATGAAGGAATTGAGATTTGGAGGGAATTTGGTGGGGTTTTTGGGATGATTTTGTGGGGTTTGAAGATAGGGGAAGAGGAAGATAAACAGAGGGAAAGAGACTCCATTGAAGAAAAATGGGAGATCACAATTCACAAATGAAGTGGATATGGAGTTGAATTGAGATAATACCGCGCTATCCTCTTGCAGTAATTTGTACACCACTACGTCACTGGACACTAGCTCACCTATATTTGGGGTAAAAACATAATAAGACACGGCTTTAGAAAACACGCTAAAATTAGTGAAATTTGGCTAAATAAACAAGCATGGCATGGTGACATAATTCATAGGCCAGGTTATGGACGGAATCTAGTTAGCCCTATAACTTGTGGGTTTGACATGGTGGCTTGCATGACCGTAGCCCACAAGAGCCACAACCATTTTAACCAAAGCACATTATGAGACCAACAATATTTTATTGTGCCTAATCTTATCCTATGTTTACATTTACATACAAACATTATACTTGTACGTGTGTACCTTTTTCGTTTTATATTATTTGACACATTTCGCACTTTGTCAATGCATTACACTAACATTAATATATTTGATTATGTGCAGCGACGAATCAAACAAGTTCCCATTCGACTATTTTTTTTAATAGAATAAATTACAAAATAAAGTCTTATGTAAATAGTAATGAAAATAAAACTTGTCACCTAAAATGAAACGAAGAAAGTATGAAGATATTGGTAATTGTACAAAGCTATACAATAAGTATATAGGTATTAGAACCAAATATGACCTAATGACCTAAGTTAAACCAACACCAAACCTTAAATTAAACTTGAATGAATATTCTCCTAAATGACTCAAACCAAGTCTAATCTGATCCAATTTATTCATACCTTTTATAAAAATGAGACATCTATGCTAATATATTAAAAGACATTTCTAAAAACGTCGATGGATGTGCCACGTAGTCCTATTTATTTTATTTTTTTTATAATAAAAATGGTTATTTAACCATCAAAGCCAATTATCAACTATTGTAAAAAAAATTTAATATAAATACAAACCACAAAGTTCAATTAAAAAAACTCAAAATATAACTCAAATTTAGTTTGACAATGACAAATTCAGTATTGAATTTTTTTTTTAAAAAATTATCGATTGCATGTTTACAAAAGTAGCAACTTGGGGCAACTCTCGGCTACTCACCAGTTAAATAATTATGAGTAGTATCATGCCACAATCTTGCTCCCGAGGGCACAATCCGGTTGAGTGACCCACTTACCCGCCTTGTCCCGTCCCATAACCAGGCAACGCTGTAAAATTGGGGGTAATACCGTACTTTCAACTGTGATAAACCCTCCAAAGTCCCAACAGATTCAGAACTTCTGAACCAAAAATTAAGAAAAAGGAAGTAGGGTTTTTGCAGGATTTCATCTTCGTCTACCTCAATAAGGTACGCGCCATTAATTCTCAATACTAGTTCTTGATTTCATTGCATTTTCCCCCATTTTCATCGTTCAATTGATCTACTAATTAATCAAATTGTTTCATTGTTATTTCGAAAATTTTCAGATGCAATCCCTAATTAGGACAGTTCGATCGAAATGCAGATTAACCTCGGATTTCGTCCCTTCGAATATTCGCAGCTTCGGTTCTCTCTCCACCATTGTTTCGGTACTTGCATTTCTTCTATTTTTCCTTGTTTCTGCCTTTTATTGATTATATATATATATATATATATATATATATATATATATATATATATATATATATATATATATATATATATATATATATATATATATATATATATATATATATATATATATATATATATATATATATATATTAGCTGGGAAAATTGAGGTATTGAAACAGTGAAATTTAATTTGTAAATTCTGAAATTATTAGTAGTTACTAAATTTTAATTTGAACTAGGAAATCGCTTGGAAATTTTGAATCTTTGAAGCATTCACTGAAACTTTTAGAGCCTTCAAAGCTATGTAATCTTTGCTTTTAAGTGTAACCATTAAAATGGTGTGATGATATTGTGGATGTAACTTTTGTTTTGAAAGAAAGTTAAGGAAATCGATAAAAATACGTAATTTTTTTTCTCAATTCAGTTGTATGCTGAGAGATGTAATCTTGATTGGAGGATTATTTTTGGTTCATCTACTTGGGTTGTGCTTGGTTGTAGAAAGAGTCCTATTCTAAGAAAATAAGATTCTCAGTTTTCTATTGTTTGGTTTGTATATGAGCGCGATTATTTTAGGTTGAAAATGGTTGCTCTAAAGTTGCTAAAAAAAGTTTGAATTTGAGAAAGGAATGCTTCATTTTAACCCCAGGCTTCTCCCTTCCTCCTTCACTACCAAATTTCTAGTGCCAAGCAAAAGATTGCTGTTGTTCTTGCTTCACACGTTCTCTATAAAATGTCTCCTATACTCGGTGATGAAACACTTCAGCGCAAGTATGCCAACTTGCTAAGACTTGATTTGGCTGTAAGACTGTCCACAACACTGTTCAATATTTGAAAGTATTGCTTAATTTTTTGTTGCATGTGCGAAACCTATTTCAATTTGTAAGAGAGTAAGATTTCAGTAATCAAGTATTAGAGTTGTGGAATGAGAAGCCTTCATGTAAGAATTATGATTATTTGGGTAATGAAGAGGATTGTGAGAGAAATCAGACTTTGATGGAAGCTTTATCTTGCATATGGGTTGTTTGGTCGTTGAAGGGGCTTATAATGAAGTAAAGGCTACTTGTTTTCTCAGTGCATGACCTAGGCAGTTAAACTTGAGTAGACGCTGAATCTTCTGATCTGAGTAAGCCTGCCTACTAAGAAAATTTCATGACTGAGTACATGACCTGCCTATTAAGAAGATTTTATCTATAAGTGGACATTTCTTGTTATGAGGAAATCAATTAGGGGGTAATATGGAGTAGTAAAAGTGTTCTGGGATGTAATCATGTAACCTTTTGTGTAAGTTAGTTAGGGAAGGTAATATCATTTCCGAGTTGAGCTAATAGGTTCCTTGCCCCCCCCCCCCCCCCCCCTATCTGAAGAAAATAATTTACTCTTCAATAAAGGTAGATCCCTCTACCTAGTCTTTAAAACCATCACAGTTACATCTGTGCATCCACCACTGTCTTTCTCTAGGCTCCAATTTATTTGTATGCCCTCCAATTCAATTAATTTATTCCAAGCATGGCCTTGAATTCAATTTTTCTGCTCCAATGAACCATCACTCTTCTATAAATACATCTGTTATTTTAATGGAGACTGGATGGCTGGATAAGATATGGTGAGATGTTGTGGCTGCAGTAGTCCTAGGTTAATTACTTTCTTCTCCCCTCTCTCCTGTTCTATCTTCTACATCATCTCCTTGTCCTTTGCTTTCATTACCTTTTTCAAGTTGGCGTTGCCCGTAGTAATATTTATTGAAGTGGCATCTACTACATCCGTTTTGAATACTCTTAACACTTTGTGATGCTGAAATACCCCCTTTCCTTTCCTGTGCTCATTGGATGTCCATTTCAATGCTTATCAGTTTTCCATTCCCTGTTCAGCTCAATTAAGTAGAATCTTTTGAATACCCTGACTGCAAATAATTGTTATATTTGTTACTAACTGTAGCACACTAGCACGAATTCTTTATATTTTTTCATAGAAAAGGAAAAGAGAACTATGAAGTATGACTTGCCTTATTCTAAAGCTGAAATGGGTTATTTAAATATTCAAACTCACAGGGAAGGGAACTTGGCCATGAATGTGCTTCAAAACATGGATATGCTGCACCTTCGTTTGCTTTGTTCAGCGGAAGTGCAAAGTTTGGTGCCATTCACGAGGGTGCTTTCTCTGAGGGACTTATTCACAGGTGCTTCTCTACTGCTGGTACTCCTGCAGCATCAATCACACAGGATACTACAGCTCCTGAAGCTGATGTGCCTGCTCGCATAAAATTTAAGAGGCTTGACAAAACAGCTAGGCACATAATGCAGGTATGCTTGCTTTCACTGCATCTGTTTTACAAGGAAATTGAATGCGCTCAATTTTCATTCTTATGTCCATCCAATATTTTTTTTCTACAGATTCTGGATAAAGAAGCAGTTGAGGAGGTAAAGGGACAGAGAGAAATTCCTGATATCAAGCCTGGTTATATCATCCAGCTCAAATTGGTATGTAAAACTTGGTAGAGGCAAATTTTGATCTTGCATACATGTTGGCTAGATGCAACTATTGATCTTGCATACATGTTGGCTAGATGCAACTATTGATCTTGCATACATGTTGGCTGGAGGCAACTATTGGTCTTGCTTTCATGTTGGGATGGGAACCCTCAATGACATGTTTTTAACTCTTCTTTATTTTCATGTGTAAAAACAGGAAGTTCCTGAAAACAAAAGACGTATTACTACAATAAAAGGCATTGTTATAGCAAGGCGGAATGCAGGATTAAACTCAACATTTAGAATAAGGAGACTAGTTGCTGGAGTTGGGGTTGAAAGTCTTCTTCCAATGTATGTGTACTTAAAAAGCCTCTTTGCAAAATTGAATATTTCCTTCAATAATAGAATTGAACATCGCCTAATGCTAAACCCAAAAAAGCCTGCCCATTTATTAGCCTGAGACACCAGTCTAGCCTTATTACTAGCTGTGAAAAGTTCAACCAAAGCCAGTAAGATTTAGGATTGAACAGGCCAGACACAAACTTTGCTAGAATAATATATTTGGGCTGCATCACATCTCCAAAAAATGGTTCAACTTCAACCACCCTTTTTCTTGTTTTTTACAATTTTCTTTCTCCAGAAACACATTTCCTCAAAGCATTTTCCTTTGATACTGAAACCTCTGCAGAACTTCTGTTGACCTTTCTATTGTTGTCCCTGACTTCCTGTCGCTAATAAATTTGTTCTTCCTGTCTTGGAAATGAGATTGAGTATATTATAGGGCTTACAAATTTGAGATGATTATTTATGTCTAAATTCTTGATGACCTGTGATTTGACTGCAACAGGTACTCGCCTAACATAAAGGAGATTAAAGTGCTGGATAAGAAGAAAGTGAGAAGAGCCAAATTATACTATCTTAGGGAAAAGATGAATCCCCTAAAGAAATAGGACCCCGACTTTCTTTCAATTGTATGGAGATCAAATAACTAAGAGGAAAAAAAAAGGGTTCTTCACTAAGATTTGCAAACACCCTGCACTATAATGTCTGTGGAACCAATGATAGCTGGGCTGTGACCATTTCAGGGTGGCAATGCAGATCATTTTTGTGAACAGATCCAAAACCACTCTAATGTATGTCCAGATTTTTTTTTTTTTTTTTTTTTTTTTTTTTTTTTTTTTGTGTAATTCTTAATGCGTAAAATAGTGCTATGGTATATTGAGGTTTAGCAATGTGGATAACAGGTAGTCGAATGGCATTAAGCTGCCAGAGTAATAAATCCTTTTGTTGGTTCCTCTTGCTTTTTTGTAATGAATTTACTTGCTTGGATGCTGGTTTATTACGTAAGTGATGTGGGATGTAAGTCTGATATACAGAGGAAGTTAGATTAAGCTTCCAGGGAAAGTAGCAATGCGTTTATCCAGGTTGTTAGAGTTTCTGACAGTCGAAGCACGCACAGCGTGAAGAGCTGCATATTCTAGCCAGACAACTTTCTCAATCCTTATACTAGCCCATATACAGGTTTGATCATTAACTAATGCCTCTGCTCTAAATTCTTAGATGCGGTGTCTGAAAAATGCTTCAAATATTACCCTTTTAATATTCAACTTCAAATTTAATCTATGCCCCTCCCTATATTTCATAACATCAAGATAGACTAAGATGTCAATTAGCTAAAAATGGCTTGTTCACTATTAAGTAAGCCTACCATGCTTCTATGGATACTTTTCTTACTAATTTCTAGTTTTTCTCAATAATTTTTCGTGCAAAAGAATAAGAAGCACTCGAAATTTAAGGTTCCTTTCATATACAAAATCCTCCTTTAGAATGTAGTTAGAAACATCATTCCTGTTGCTAGTACTTTGGCAACAAAACTATCCAACTTTAATATATGCATTCGGTGTAAGGCTCTCCGAAGATAGTCTGCATTATTTTTTTAAAGAAATTGTCGAACCCTGACTTTGATATATCGTGCATGAATAACATGTTTTCGATTTCTAGCATTCAACAATCACGTTCCTACTAGCCGTATGATTCTACAACCATAATTTTTAAAAATGAACAAGATTTAATAATTTTAGAATTATTTTCAAATGTTAATATTTGATTTTTGTCGAAAACAATGGAATCTGATTTGAAGAGTATTGTACAAAAAGTAATCAATATGGTTTACAGAATAAATTACTACGAGCAGCTTTTTTTTTGCCTTCACCTTTCTTGTAGACTTTTTCCAGAATCTCCTGAACAAAGAATAACAGTTACTCTGATTTGAAGAGTATTGTACCAAATGTACGAGTAATCAATATAGTTTACATAATTTGAATGGAGCGATGCTTTTGCTTCAGTCTACCTGTCTCCTCTAACCTCTAACCTCTATCATCGATCATTTTCTCTTTAGCACCTTATTGTGCTGGAGTTGTGGCATAGTCTTATATCGGTCATCAATCGATATAGAACCACTCCACAGCTCCATATGTCCACTTGGTTGTGAACTTGTGATACAGATACAACTAACCACCTTAAATGTTAGATGGCTGCTAAATGAAGGAAGAGCAAATAAACATGATAGAAAAGATAACCGGGTGACTGAGGGAAAAAAATTATCTGGCAGAAGTATCTCTAATTCTCTATAAATGTCGAAGACATATAGAAAAACATTCAATTCTACCTTGACAACCTTTTCCCATTTGGCATGGCTATGAAGCAAGAAGTAGGACAGGTTCTTCAAACTTGCAAACCTCCATTGATAATATGCGGAAGTGTAGCGTTGTGTCGTTCAGTCACCGTCTCTGAATGGGCCAAGTTCCTTCCTGGCATTTGTGCCACTTTCAGGTGACAGGCGCCACACCGAGAGGAAGGTTATAGCCTTAAGAGTTGATGATCACAACAAATGTCACTTCCACAGCTGCTCGGTCTAAGTCTCATAGCCATGAGAGTATAATCTGAATAAGACAAGAAACTCTAATTAGTCCTTTATTCATGATAATAGTATAATAATTAGAGGAATTGTGTGACTAAGACATGTTTTGCATGTTGATTTCTTGTTATAAATCAAAATATTATTTTACAGATCTATATCTTTAAAAGTTTTAAAGCCGTGCAATTGCATGATTTTTGGGGTGAATTTTGGGTTGAAGTTCCGTAATTGGTATAGAACTCATGCAATTGCACGGTTTTAAAACTTTTAAAAAAATAGATCTGTAAAAAATATTTTGATTTAAAACAAGAAATCAATATGCAAAACATGTCTTAGTCACACAATTCCTCTAATTATTATACTATTATTATGAATAAAGGACTAACTAGAGTTTCTTGTTTTATACAGATTATACTCTCATGGCTATGAGACTTAGACCGAGCAGCTGTGGAAGTGACATTTGTTGTGATCATCAACTCTTAAGGCTATAACCTTCCTCTCTTCGGCGTGGCGCCTGTCACCTGAAAGAGGCTCAACTTCCATGAAGGAACTTGGCCTATCCAGAGATGATGACTAGAAGACACAACAATACATTTCCACAATATATTATAAGAAGGTTCTCTAGTTTGAAGAGCAGTCTCATACCTCTTCAAATGGGAAAAGGTTACCATGGTAGAATTGAATGCTTTTTTGTATGTCTTTGACATTCAAGAGAGATTTTTCTACCAGCTAATTTTTTCCCTCAGTCACCCCGGTTATCTTTTCTACCATGTTTGCTCTTCCTTCCCATAGCAGCAACATTATTGAAGGTGGTTGTATCTGCTTCAATATTAGATCAAAAGTGGACATATGGAGTTCTGGAGTACTGGTTCTATATCGACTGATGACCGATATAAGACTATACCACCACTCCAGGCATCTACTTGATATCAAATTAGAGTTGACAGAATAAGGTGCTGGGTAAGGAGGAAGTTATTGATGATAGGATACAAATAGACTGAAGTATTGGAAATATTGCAGCCCCTACAATATAGGGGCCTTCAAATTATGTAAACCATATTGATTACTTTTTGTACAATACTCTGCAAATCAGAGTAAGTGTTATTCTTTGTTTAGGAGATTCTGGAAAAAGTCTACAAGAAAGGGGAAGGAAAAATATTATTCTGTAAACCATATTGATTACTTTTTGTACAATACTCTTCAAATCAAATTCGATTGTTTTTGACAATCTGGCCAATATATATAAAGGTTAACATATCACATATATCTTTGGTGTCCAATTTTGCAATAGTTCTGTAGTCTTAACATACAGCCGCGTATACAGATCATGAATTTTCTACAATGAAAAAATTTCAAATCAAGAAGTTTGTTTTCTCTGTAAATGGCAAGCAGACAGGGATAGTACTCTGATTCAGGTTATGTAGTTCTCAAACGTTTCTTCTGTGTCCTGTAGTTTTCGCCTTCTATAATCTGTACAAAATATCTACTTCAGCACATATTCATGCTATTTGTCATTCATCTAGTTAGCTTGCTCCTCTTTTCATCATCCTCTTGTAGTTTCTTCTCAAAGCTGGCGATAAAGTCTTCCATACATGCCTTATAAGTTTCCATTCCTGGTACCTTCTTTGCAAGCTCCAACGCCAAACTCATCCATTTTTTTGCCCCATCAACCTGCCTGAGTCTCACAGGGACTGCTGCCCTGTTCCAAGATGTGGTGGCAAGCCATTTCCCTTCGGCAACAGGGTACTCACCTTCTCTGAGCCCCACCATAATTCGTTGTGCCTGTTTATATAGATTGTACACCGCCTCATCATCAGCATCTCCCTTGTAAACCACAGCTATAGTAATTAGCCGTCTTATAACTATAGCCACCTCATTATAGTCTGGTAAAGGTGAAGCAAGTAAACCAGAGAGGCAAGCATTTAAAGTGGTGGTTGCTACTTCAGCATTAAATTGAGAACCTTGTGAGAAAGCAAGGCCTATCTGAAGAAGATCCTTCGGGTTAGAGACCTTTGAATTCAAATAACTTTTCACAAGGAGGTGCTGGGATCTTGAGTCTTTCATCCTTCCATATAGTTCATATGCATTCATCATGTATACAAGTTGGAATTTTGGGTCGAGGCTGCTGTCTTGACAGTCTGATGGATTTTCTGCAGCTGATAATGATTCCACCAACTGACAGCATGTTGCACGAAAATATTAGTGGGACTTCATAGAATATAGCTAAGCTACCTTTATTACAAAGGAAACTATTTCGTACCTTTCCAACTCTATCTAGCAGTTCTATGGCTTTCCTCACTTGTGCATCCAACATCGCAACCTTCTTTTGCTTCTCAGTGGCTAACATTGCAGAAACAGCCAGGACAATTGATTTGCAAACCATTATGTTGTTTCCTTCTGCTTCCCTGTCAATCTTAACATCATAGAATTCAGCTGCCAAACTCAAAAATTCAGCACATAATTCATAGCTTTCTTCCACCCCTGCTCGTGTCCCTGCATTCCATGCATTTGCTGCGATCCAGTTTTGCTCTCGCCTTCCAACCTCACCTTTCCCAAAGAAATTATCAGGCCCTAGCTCAGTCATCCTAGTTTGGGCTCTCTTCATGTGCTTCAGGAGATCATACTCATGACCAGATTCTTGAACAAGGATTGCTAGAGTGGTGCGAACCACAACTATCTCAGCTACTGGCATTGGTTTTCCTGATGTGTAGAAGTTGAGGAGATCAGACAAAGAGGAAACAGCAACTCCAAGTGCACGACATGCAACAGCTTCATGCGCTGCAAGTGAAAGAAATTCTGTAGTGAAGTCAGTGCAGCCCATCATAGCTTTTATCTGAGTTATGGCAGCAGCATGATCATTCTTTTGCAAGTATATCTTGAACTGCCCAAATCATAAGGAAAAAAAAAAAAAAAAAACTACAGTGAGGCTAAGATAGAATGAAACAAGGTTTTTTTAAAAAAAATTTAAGCAAAAGCAAGCAAAATTTACAATACCTTCAGAAATGCACAGGCTATGGTTGGCTCAAGCTGCAGGAAAAAAATGCATCAGTATCATAAACATCTTTAGTCTTTCTTTGTTGCTCAGCCTTATACCAGATGAGAACAACACACAATACCTTCTCTGTCTCATCAATGTATTCCTTAGCTTGATCAAGCTGGGAGAGGCCCAAGTGGCATAGACACAAAACTCTGTATCCCTTTGCTCGTAGAATTCTGCTCTCGGTGCCACTGGGCACATAAAGCATAGCCTTTTCAAATAATCCCGCACTAATCTCATAGTCCTTTGACCGAAAATGAGCTGCAGCACTGCTCAGGGAAATTAAGTTGGTCAAAAGGACGGGAGTTTGTAAAAGAGAAGTCTCTACAAAAAAATAAAAAAGATATGCACAAAAGCAGAAAGATCAACATAGATAAGAATCAGAAAATGAACAGCTACAACTTATGCATACCATCCCATCTTTGTCTAAATTGTCTCAAGTAGACTACTGATTTTCCTCATTTTGTTTTGTTCATATCAATTGCTTCATAGATTCAAATCCGAGGCATATGTTGATTGCATTTTCTCAAAAATCTCTTCCTGCCACACCATTACTCTGCTTACATACATATCATAGCAAATCTCAAATTCTTCAGCAAACAGATCCTCAGAAGTGATGTCATGATACCACCAATTATAAAAAGACGGTGTTATATGAATTACTAGCAATAACTCCCTCCACCAATTCCTAAATCTCTCTTTCAAATTAAAACCTACGTTTCTTATGATACATTTCAGGGGCATCTACATTTCAGAGCTGTAGCTAAGATTTAAGTCCCCACAAGTCCACAACAGCCTAAGTGATAGAGTATATAAACCAATCTTGGGAATCAACCATTAGCTTGACCAGTATTGGTTTATATACTCTTTCTTAGGGTCTCTACAACATATGATACCACAGCCACATGATTTATAATTACACAGGCCAAACATTAACCACCAACAGGAAACAGTATACAAGACCACACCTAATCATGCAAATCATTCATTAAAACAAGTTCGATACAAAAGACAGAGGTCCCATGAAAAAGTAGGCATGAAGAAACCAAAGGAGAGCAGCATATCACACCCAGAGCGAGATCAAAAGACAACAAAAGGATCCAACAAACACGAGACAAAACAATACAAAGTGCAAACAAACAACCACGACAAGATTATGCCTTGAAGATAACTATCATAGGCAAAATTGGTTCACTGGGTACTGAAGAGTAGCAAGAACAAAGCATTTGTTGCAAAATTTTCATACGGAGTATTAATTTGTTATGCTCTTTAGTATCCACTAAAGAGACTAAACAAACAACTAAATCACAAGAACTTGGACTAGTTCATACTGTAGTAAAGCCTCACCAATTCCACAAGACAGCATGTAAGGCTGCTCTTTCCTTTGCAGCTGTCTCCCCAGCAAAAAGTGTCACCACCCTTTCATCACTCACCAACTCCTCCGCCATTATCTTTCTAATCCGTAACCCTTCCCCACCACCACCGCCTTCCCCTATCACCTTATAAATCACACGAACCGCTGCACCAGCACTAACTTGGCACCGCCCTAACAGCCCTAGAAAAATACTCTTCACTGTCTCAACTCCAGCCATACCAACTGCCTTAAAATACGCCTCCACAGCTGAAACCCAAACAGCCTCCGGAACCCCCTTATTTACAACCATATCCCTCAGCTCTTTCTCTGCCTCACTAAACCTCCTTAATCCCAGCCACGCCTTCAATGCTAAAACACTCAAACTCGGGTGCTGATCGCCGCTTTTAACACCACTATAATCCCTCAAAACCCTCACACATTTAACCACACTCTCAAACTCTTCCCTCTGCAAATGCGAAGCAGCAATAAAACGCAGAGTCGTATCCCTCAAAGCCTTCAAACTCAGCGTTTCATCCGTCTTCTTCACAACTCTAAGCCCTTTCTCACACAACTCCAAACCCTCATTCATCAACTTCAACACTTCATTACCCTCCGAAACTCCGCTCTTCATCAACAGCGCCTTCCCAAACGCCAAGTATTGCTCTGCAAGAATCCTGTAATTCTCCGCCGTTTCAAACAGAAACTTCTTCGACCGATTCAACAACGCAATCGAAACGTTTCGATCCGAAACCTCCCACGCAGTTCTCGACCTCGCAATATTAAGATCGAGCAACAGTTTTCTCTCTCCTAGGTCAGAAATCGAATCAATTTCAACCTTCGCAACAAGATCCGTTGCTTTCTCATAACAATCATTCGCCAAATCAAACTTCCTCATCTCATGCCAAATCAAACCAGTCTTGTAGTAGAACGAAGCCGCCTTCATCGCCGGTGACGGAACTCCAGCAACATCACCGGCGATTGCGAGAATGTCGGCGGCGGATTGCCGGAGCTCTACGTGTCCTATTACGCCGGCGTTTGTGAGATCGACGCAGGAGTTCCAGAGACGGTAGCTGAGCTTCCATAGCTGAAGCTTGACCGATTTGGAGAAGGAAGGACCGAGTTGACTCAGTTGAGTCAGACATTGTCGAAGCTGAGGGGAGAGAGAGGAAGGTAAGGGAGAAGTTTTAGGAGAGAGAAGCTCGATTTGTTTGACGAGTGATTCGATTTGTTGGAGGATGAGTGAAACGGCATCGTGTTGCCGGAGGTCCGGCGAGTTTATCTCTGCTATTCTCATTTTTGCCGGGAAAATTGGGCGTTTATTTGAATGATGAAGAAGAGAAAGAGGCGGTTGTTTAAAAAATACAAAGGAAGATAGAGAGGTTCTAGGAGGGAAAATTTGAAAATTGTAATTATAGTTTGAAATTTCTTGAGATTGAATTACAAAGAGATTGAATTCTAAAGTAACGGCTACAATTCTTACAAACAAATTGGAACACGGTTTAGACATGTATACTATGAGTCTATGAGCATCGTGCTCTTAGTTTGAAATGAATCTATTTTCAGCTCACAAATTCTTTAATACTCCTTCATGTTTTTTTCTTTCAGCTCACGGTTTAGACATGTTCTTTTCATAACTACATAATATATACTTCGTATATAGAAATATTTGGTCTTAGGATGATTTAGTAATTAGTATTTAAGCTTATATATTCCAATACATGAAAATTGATAAGGTGACTTCCCATCAGAGCTAATTTGATACGGAGTATGAAACTTTGACAAGCAACCAATTCTTATTTTGGTAGCGATATGGTCCAAGCGGGTCTGATACTCTGGCTACAGGTCCTAGACGGCTAGACCTATTGCATGGTGGCCAGCACTCTTTCATACAAGTAGCAAATTCACGATCAATTTCAGCTATATTCATAACTGAAACCATATAAGCTACTTGTAGTAAGAAACATGAGATAAGAGAAGAGAAATGTACAAACACAAAACACGGTACATATATTAGAGGATTAAAAGGTCTCGTTATACATGAAACTGAAAGAGGCTAAAACACTAAGCTTGATCCTTTTTTTTTTTTTTTTTACTTCGCCTTACATTATCTCAGTTTTTTCCCACCTAATACTAAGATTAACCGTACAGTACCTGACATCTTAGAAAAAGGGTTAAAAACTTAGTAGTTAAAATCAGAAGTTCATGAGAGTCACCAAATTAGCATCAGTACTGATAAGGAGGGGCCTGATACTGGTACCCATTGGCGTAGTAATTTCCATGGCCCGGAGGAAAGCCATAAGCTGGGGCACCCAAGACAGGAGGAGGGCAGTGATTATCAGTAGGTCCAGCAGGGTAAACATAGGGTCTGTTGTCAAACACGTAATGGGGAGGGTACCTGTCAGTCAGCCTAGCAGCATACGGAGAAGTGTTGGCAGCAAGGTTAGTGACGCGGGGAGCAAACCCCACATTGGTAGCACGGGGCCTCTTGGATTGAGGTTTAGTAACTTCTGTTGCTCGTTTCTTATCTGCTTTTGCCTTCTCAAGATGGAATAAGCGTTTTGCCAGAGTCTCCATAGGAAACTGTTCTTCAAGCTTGTGCTCTTCCACACATTTCAGGACAGCCTTCAGAGCACTGAGCTCTCGTTCATTCACATCGTTGTTCTGAAAGAATAATACAACTAATAAGGTAAGAGAAAATTTAGTTAAATGTTTGCAGCATAAGATGTATTACTACCAAATTTTATCATCATACACCCAAGTGTCTGAAGGAGTATGAGCAAGTGCAAGGGCAACTGGGCATGCACACTTATAAGCGGAATATGTACAAGACTAGCAAGAGCATCTATGGAATATCCAATTTCAACTAATATGCATCAAAAACTGAAGTTATTGCAGATTACACATGCTTTCAGTCCTTTCACACACGTAGTAAACCAATTTATTGTAGTTATATATGTTACAGAAATTTATTCTATCCACATAGTAAATACATCATGGCCTCACAGAGTCACAGGGTATTAGGGCAATCTTTAGGCCACATAGGAGTAATACAAAGTGAAAAGGAAGAACATAACCATAAACTAAGCAAAGAAATAAACAGCAGAATGAGAAGGAAACCTGTCCACTGGGAGAAGACGGTGATGCATTTCCAGGCTTAACTGGAGAAAGAACTTTTTTCGCTTCCTTTAAATAGTTTTGCAGCAGAGGAACGGGGGGAAATTGTTCAGTCAGCTCAAATTGAGAGGCCAAATTAATGGCATCAATTTGTCTGCCGCTATTAATCAGCACTTCAATTACACCTGCAGATTCCAGCTTGAAGTCAACAACCATAACACATAAATGCAAAGCCATGGCTTTACTTGTTGATATGCAGTATTAATCAAGAGATGATGCAGAATGTGCAAGTTATCAACAAGTTTCCTATTACATAAACCAGGGAGCTAATATGCTTTCCCAACAAACAAATTAAAATGAACACAAACACACACACACACACACACAAAATTCTCTCCTTCTTCCAATAAGAATCAGTGAAAAACATCTAGCCTAAGAGTGAGAAATGCCAGATTTTATTAGGTAAAATTATGTCAATGAACGGGAAAGGGAACATTTGAAATAATTAGGTTAGTTTTAGTTCTCAACTTCAAAGGTCCACTAATAAGTACCACAGCCAGACACCCCACCTATGCGGCTAAGCCTATCACTGTTTGGGGAAAAGCTTGATTAAAAAAGAAGTGTGTCAATGTTAAGGGGTCCAGTACAGCAGTTCATAAAAGCCTCCCTGCATTTTTCATACCACTCCAAGACTTTGGCTTGTACATAATACACAAATCTGACCTGGCATTTTATCAGATAACCCAAGTGAGCGGCAGAGATCAGCAGCTTGGCGACGACGCGACACCAAAGGCACTAGTTTGGTTAGTTCTTCTGTGTCAAAATCAGATGCAATATAGAAAGTAGCCAGAAGTTGTAAAAATGCATGAGCCTCCAAGGAGTTTCCACTTCCAGCTTCCATGTCAAGTTCATTAAGCTTTGGCTTCCATGCCTCAGCAATAGCTTTTGCTCGTGCCTTAACATCTGCAGAGACTATTTCAGAAACAGTGGTTGCATCCAGACTCGCAAACAAAATGCTAAGACATTCCATCAACATGATGCAGGTACGGCGAAGACCCAAAAGACTGGAATCCTTTTTTGCATCCAAGTTTGTCACATCACCACGGTAGAAGTTATTCAGCGAATCAAGAACCAAACAGGCAGGGTCAGCAGCAGCATTCAAAGCTTGTGGTATTTCCTCCCGCATTGATGCAAGGTTCTTGCGGTTGTCAGATATAAAATTATGAAGACCCTCAGCATCCATCTCTTCACATAGTTTGACAAGCTCAGGGTAAGATGTCACCTCCCCGTTTCCATTATCAGCTGACTGCACTTCTGGACTTCCATCTTCAGCTGTTCCACTAGTATATTCAGAAGTAATTTCAGATATCAAAGAGTTAGTTGGTGTGTCCTCCATGGTTCCACCCTGGCTCTCACTGGTGGCTTCAGAATATTCTTCACATGATACCCTCCATTGCTTCTCTTTAGCATTAACAATAGCAAAAACAGCAGCATCCCTCTTCTCTTGAAGCCTCTCTAAAGAAGCCTGCTCTTTGGCCACAACTGCTGCTTTACGCTTCTCTAGAATCTCTTGTGCTTCCACTGTCTTGTTTTCATATTCCTTTTCCTGATCTTCCAACTCATGAAAACGCCTCTTAAGTGATTTTTCCAAACCATGGAAATGGGCCTCCAGCTCTTTCCATTTCAAATTGAGGGAAATAGCCCTGTGACTTTCAAGCTCAGCAAATGCTTTCTGAAGTTGCTGTATCTTGGAGGTTGCAGAATCTATGAGCACGCCAACAGATTGAGTATCCTCCATTGAAAATACCGCTGGAAAAAGGAGCAGCAATCAACAGATTAATATTAATAAGGGAAGGCAAGGAAGATTAGATACATTGGCACACAGTTTTGGCAAGCAGTGTCATATGCAGCAGATAAAATCAGGAAAATATATATGTAGTATATATACTTCCTCAGTTCCTTTTTTTTTTTCCTTGCAACAGTTTTCATTTCACGCTAGCCAATGCATTAAGTCAATCACTTCTTACTTTAGACCACATGTTGTAATGTCCATCAGAATAAACATAAGCCATATGAGGCACAGGGAACAGCCAATAGGCACCAGGTCATTTATCAAAAACCAATTACTAACACATAAGCATTTAAAATGCTGAGTTTCTTGCCCACACAAAATCACAAAACCAACATGACAGATTAGGGAAGTAATATGATCATAGATAACAGTCAAAAGCAGTAAGAACAGAAACAGACTTCACATACACAAGGAAGAAAATGAGTGCATACAAACATCATCACAGTTACTACCTCCGTTACATATTAGTTGCAACTTTGGAATATTTTATCTCTCACAAATATTACCCAATGTTGCAACTAATATGTAACAGATGAAGTATTTAAAATGAGCAAATACAACACACATCTAAATTCTAAACTAACAAATTGGAGGATCTAGTTACCTTAAAGCATACTTCCTCCGTTCTAGTAATATTGCAACAACTGGACTTTTGCACTATTCATCACGCTTGTTTGACCACATATTATGATTAGTAACATATAGCCATGTGGGGTTTTGTTAGATTTGTATCGTAAAATACTTGCACAATATCAACTTTTTATAATTTTTACTCTTATATAATTATAGATATTTAACATATAAAATGTGTTTTGGGATGCGTAATTTCATCGTTGTCGTAATATTTGTGGAAAATTATAATCTAAGTCGTAGCCTGGAAGTATAATAACCTCACCACCACAGACACACATACACGCTAATTGAAAAAACAATTACAGGCAAACTAGGAATATCGAACATACAATCACAACAACATATCAAAATCCAAAAAAGGCACACTATAAAGTGGTAAATGAAACGAGTAAAAGAAGCTTACTAGTGACTACAATAGCAGCGGCTTCAACTTCTTCAGGCACCAACTAGATCTACCATAAACCTAGAAAAATTAAATGAAGAACAAACTAAAACACCGAAAAATCGAACATATCTCAATTACAACAGCTCAACCGGAGAAAAATTACCAGAAATTGCAGAAACTAAAGCGAAAAAGAAACGCACGATTACTTAGATCTACAACACCATAGCAAAATGCATTAAGCTACACCAAGCTCAGACAATTAATTCCTCAAAAATCAACAGAAATCACATCATTTAGCATCATATTAAGTCAAATTTTCATCAATTTCCAGCTAATTAACTTCAAAACTTCAACAACAATAGCTCAAACAAAAAATCCTCAAAAATTGACAATAATTACAACACTAACAACAAATTCGTTCAATTCTTGATCAAATTCCAGCAAAATTAGGTCAAAAAAATCAGAAATAATCATGATCTAAACATAAAATCAAGATCAATTAAAAGCAAAATTAAACAAAAAGGCGAGAAACATACCAAATCGAAGAAAGTAGGAGAGAGAAAAACATGAGGAGATAGATAGTAGTAGTGCGGCGGAAA